CGAGTCAGATCCTGAACATGGTCTGAGAAGCTGTGGCAAAAGTGGGTGACAAGCCAGGAATGCCAACCATAAAGATAGACACAAAAAAACATGGCAAAAGTTAGATCCAATGACCAGCCTGCTGAATGTCACATTGTCCCATGGGTTCTTGTCCTTCGATCCATGGACCTGCGTGATGGCCTCAGGAACTTCTTGTATCGATCCAAGTGGTACCAAAAGCCGCAGGTGGGGAATCTGGGTTGGATGACTTGGGTTGGGCACCAGGGCGATTATGGACCTGACTTGGCTCGACTGTTGCATTCCAGGCGAAGGAGAATCCACAGGTACCAAACAATCAATTGGTTGTTTGTATAACAATACCACTTAGTGTATATCCATATCTTAAATCATCTTATATCTACATGACATTTACATATATTTATGGCTAGTTCGCTAAATATCCTTTAAATCCCTTTGATTTTTGCATGGCTGCTGGGGGCATCTTGCTCAGTAGCCCTCCTACCCTTGTCAGGTAGTTCACCTGCGCAGCATCATGAGGGGTAGCGCGGTGTCGTGCTGTTCCTTGCAACAAATGGAGCTGGTACTGGCAAGCGCAGGTGGAGGGTTTGAGCAAATTTATATATCGCTAAAGGATGGCATGGGGCATCGGCTTTATCATTCTTAAGCACCAAAAAAGAGATCTTAGAGGGTTTGGCATGGCAAACAACCATCTGGGCATGGATTAAACCAGATGTCACGAAGGCCTCCTTCCTGAAGCCAAATTGTGATGGGGTTTCTGCAGCTGTAAGGTTCCTTTCTGAGCCTCCTCGTCGCGCTCTTCTGCGGTGATTTGTTCGCCTTCTTGAGCGTTCCGGGGCAGCAGCCATGCGACAAGCTCTGGAGCCAGATTTGGTTCATTTTGTAGTTCCCTTAAACCAATCCATTGATCATTGGCTCACTTGGAAGGAACTGTATTTGTTTCCAAGTTTCTGTCGTTCTAATCCAGGTGTGGTAATGCGAATATACTTCACCTGGGAGGCATGGTAAATTCAATTTGGGCCTCCCCTTGAGCCCTCAATGGCGTGTTACCTCAAGGTGCCGGGGAATGCCCTTTGCGACATCATCCTAACGGTGGCTTGGATGCAATCTGCAGCTATGGTGTCCTGAAAGGAGATCATCTATCTGATTGGGGGAAAAATTGCAACGATTTTACTGGTAGCAGAACCTGATGTTTTGGAAGGATTGTTGGGTGCATGCTTAGAGACTACTTCAGCAAGAGGTAACAAGGAGCCACACGAATCGCCCTGCTGGGGAAGTTTACCTTCAGGTGGCCTTTGGCTTCTTTGCTTTCGAGTTCGTCCTGAATGCCTTTTCTGACAGGAGCAAGTGACGTTTGGCCTATGTGGAGACTCTCCCTTTTGAAACGTGCTCAAGGCTGTTGCCTTGCCAGACAAACATTGGAATTCCAGTACCTGCAAATTGTGGCAATCCTTTCTGGTTGATGTTTTTGGATTCACCACCAAGCTGCGACTGAAAGAGAGTTGCAGCTCAGCCATTAAAGAGGTGGCCTTGAAACTTTTCACTGCCGAAATTGTCATTTTTTGGTTCACGCCCCAAAGTTTGTTGGTAATCTGTGCAGGACTTATCCTCTGAGTTTCTTCTTTTATATGGACTTGATCGGAACCTTCTCGCTCAGCCGGCCTGTTTGGCGCTAGCGCTGAATGTCAAGCTGCAACAAAGCCGAGTCCCTGCCAGGATGGTCTTCGACATTTCCTACATGTGTGGCCCTGATGCTATGTCCATCGAAAGGCGCGGTAGTGTGGTAGGGTTCGTTTTACGTTGGTCGAGATCTACGGCGGTAGGAAACTTCAGACATGTGCTCTTTGCAGTTTGGCAGTTCCTTCAACTTGAGAAACCTGAACAAAAAGCAAGGCTTTTAAGCTTTCTGTCCTAAAATCCACCATTTTTATCCATTCTTCAGTGGATTTATGGTGATTGCTTTTTTGTGAGCTTTTGAACCAAAAATCGCCTCATTTGGCCAGATTGCACACCTCCTCCAGCAGTGGTGGGGGAGTCTCTTGGTTTGAGACGGGCATTTGGCCAAGGCACAATGGGAAATGGTAAAATCATCCAATGAACAGTTGGAAATCTACCACAATGATCCAGAATTAGCAACATTTGCTTGGTTATGATTGGATGATTGGTTTACAAATAAAATAATCATCCGTTCTCAATATTCCGAGATCATTCCTGCGACACCCCCCACACCTCAGATGGTTGATTCCGAACGTGGAAAAGCTCTGAACATTTTCACAATGTGTTTGCAGTAGTGGACCCATCTGAAATGAAATCCCATTTACATTAAATGCAGCTCCCTCCACCTGCACAGAGATTTCAGTAAACAGATGTGAACAGGTTTTCAGGCAAAATATCTGAACAAAAGCCGATTTTCCAGCCTATTTGTTGAGTTGCACGGATGAACAGACTATTATGTACAGCCATATGATGGCTTAAATTCCATTCTATCTCCATTATATATCCCATTAAATCCCTATTGTTTGCCATATTTCCAGCTCGCTAAGGTCATCGTGATGCGAGCGGCGCGCGCTGCGCGCTTGGGCGCCCGTGCAGGGCGTTTGAGCCGAGTGGCTCGGCAGCTGATGAGGAGATAGGTGGCAGATGGTGGCAGATAGCTGCCTGTAGAGCAGACAGAACTGCTTTTTCCTGATTTCCCCTAATTTTTTTCTAAAGCGAAAGTAGCTGATAAGATAACTGCTATGCCCAGGTAGCGAAGATCGTGCGCTTCGTCTCGGGATCCGAGGAAGAAGGCTCCGGAAACGTGTCTTTGGCGGTCAAAAGGGGTCAGTTGATTCAGTTGATGGGCACTGGTCAACATTTAAGTGAAACAGATGGACTTCCTGTTCTTGTTCTTGGTGACTAATCATCCCCTTGATCGGGGCAAGCAGTCTTTAAGGGTCATTACTGTACCTATTTTGTCTATGTCTGTCTCATTTTATGCTTCAATCCAGTTCAATCATGTTCAATCCAGATATTCCCAGCACGGACGTTCTGAGGTTCGGATGGCGAAGGTGATCTCCAACAAATTGTGGCAGGGCCCAACAAATGGAGGGTTGGGATGGGGCTCCAGGGGCACAGCTCCAGGAAGTTGATGAGTTACAGTGAGTTACACTGTAAGTTACACTTGATGTATGATGAGATGTTTTGATGGACTACTTGGCCTCCTAGTCTGAAGATGTTCTGAAGATGGCCTGCCCGGACCATGTTTTGCGCACAAGTCTTATCATTCCATCGTTAATTTTGCCGTAAACATCCGGTCCTGCTTCATCCCCCCAATCAAAATCAGAACGTTCTCAGATTCTGAATTCCCAAAAAAAGTTGGAACATGGTATAGTTCCCCTCCAGAAATTATAGATATTATGGAGAATTCTGGTGGAAATGATGGTGGAATTCGTGGAATTCCCTCATTTCATGACCTTCCCCTCTTGGTATCTTCGCCGAGGTCGGACGTCCTCTCCATCCGCGTGGCCTTCGTGGTGATTTGTGTGGCCGTGGTGCTGCCGTCTCTCGGTTGGCTATGGCAGTTATGTCCTGCTGCGGCCAATTGGGGGATATCCCGGAGCTCAAGTTGGGGAACATGTCCTTTAAAATCTTTCAAACTTAAGACTATTGGAGTTTCGGGGTGCCAAGATCAGTTATTTTGCCACCACTGAAGAAAGGGTTCTAGGTGTGGAAAAAATCATCAATTGTGCATCAGTTTGTGATCAAGCATCCCTAACCTAATCTTCCGGATAGTCTCTTGCGTTGACCCACAGCCAACCATGTTTTTTTTCGGAGGGCACCCAAGGTGCATCCCAGTGCATCCCATCCCCCCTCCGACCCATCCATGGCGAGGTCGCTGAGCATCTTCGAATATCCCGAGATGGAGGAGTCGCTGACCGCCTGGACCAGCTTCCTGGCGCCGGACGTCCAGCGCTACGCTGAGGGCGCCCGGGGCGAGATGGCGGTGATCCAGCAGCTGCTGAGGCCGGGGAGGATTTCCCGAGCACAGGTGGTCCTTATAGTCTTTCATGGCCTCAGGTTTCTGAATGTTTCTGATACTATTTGCACCAATCAGTTTCATCCCACTGAATTTGACTCCAACCTCGCAGTCAGGGTTGCTCCACCTGCCAGGGATCTCTCGAAGTTCTACTCTACGGTCAGCTTTTATTTGCTTCAGTATTGTTCTTGTGTGCAGTGCGCTGTGCATCATGCCCGTCCCTCCAAAAAGAATGGTGAACATATGTGAAAATCATCATGGAAATGGATACATTAAGACCATCCGATCATATCCAATCCATTTTTCAGGTAGTTCGTCACTGGGGGGTTTGAAGTGATCAGCACCATCAGACACTTGAAAATTCACTGGGCATGGAATTTCCATTGGCCACTGGATGGTACCCATTGTGGCAGCTGTCAACAAACCAATCTCCCATGGCTTTTGGAGATTAACCCCACATCACCCATTTCAGGCTCCATTTTTTGCATTTGGGGTCTGAACATGTTTTCTTGTATTTTTGAGTATGTTCTGTTGGCCATTTGGCCCAAGAATAATGGGATTTCAGAAAGAGCCGAGGCGAACTATGGGCCCTTCCTGATCTGCTACCGAAAGACAGGGGCTGACCTCAATTCAGAGGACTGCCCAAAAGGGGGATAGTGCTGCAATAGATAAAGGATCGGGGCTTGAAAATAATGAGAATGGTCGATTGGACTTCAGATGGAGAATGTCTCTTTGGATTGACTATTTAAATCTGCTTCACCCAGATGGGAGATGTGTTCCATTTGGGAAAACTGACATGGGGGTTCGGCAGTAGCGGTATTGTTTTTGGCCTCAAGCTCTTGAAGATCCACAAACTTGGGGCCAACTTGTTGGGTTGAGACACCTTTGAGCATTCCACAGTCTCTTCATTTCCACTTCGAATCACAGCAGCTGATCGAAAGAGGTGGGCTTGTCACGGCTTGTCATCTAAAAATGTACCTCCAAATCCCAAGGTTTGAAACCTCATTTTTCCCAAAAACTGCCATCAAAATTGTGGTTCTCCGAGCTATCCGCCATCCCATTTTGAATCGAGCCGTAGGAGTTGCTGGCCTGTGGCGCGACGGACGACACCGTCAAGTGCGCCCAAACCACATCACAACTTGATCAATCCCTCGAAAAACTAGCGAAAAGGGGCGATTTCCCCTTTCATTGTTAGAAAACAAGCCAGTTTCGTATTTTTTGTCAAAAAAATACATGTTTCCTGTAGATTTTGTAGACTTTCCCAGTTTCATCTCAATTATTTGTAGTTTTTCCCTTCAAATCCATCCAGAAACAGGTTCCCTGCTGGCAGGTTCGAGGTGGAGGGCCACTGGGCCGCGCCTGCGCGGCGTGAGTTCGTGATGGCCACCAGCAGCTGGGACCAGCGGAAATGATGGGGGGATTTAACCGAGAAATATGGGATATACTGTATATGTTATGGATTTATATGGATTCAATTGGACTTAATATCTGCAGGCTATTAGATGTAAAGATTTTTGTGTGGTTTGTAAAGGTAGAGGTTGGAGGACCAAAATTTAACCAGAATCAAATCAAATCAAATCTGTTGGAACTATGTATATATATTATATTGTGGGTTTTAGGATAGGATCTAAAACTCTTGCACCCCAAACCATGGAAAACTCATCTTGCAAAAACCGGGTTTCAGACTTGCGCTAGAAGCTGCCATTTTGGTCAGCTGGGGCACTGGTGAATTCTGGAGAAAGTCACCCCATTGAGCTGAAGCATCAATCCCGTGTCTCCTTCCGATGTACCGCTGGTAATCTGGCAATCGACAAATTCCAAGTGTCATTCTGCAGATCATGAACTAGTTCTATGGGTATGGATCAAAATTGGGTGCCCCACAAACTAGATGCTTAATACTAAACATATCTAAACATATACAAGAATCTGTGGTCCCATAGACCCTCAACTTTTGACCCATAGCCATGGTGGGTAAGTAGCCATGGGTCGAAACTCATCGAGGCCAGGGGCAGATGGATTTGCTCTTCGACTTGGCGGAACCGAAGCGCTTGGAAGCGTTGATGGGTGCCTTGGACGCTGGGGATGGGGAAGGTGCTATACGATCTGGCTGTCCTGGGTGATGATGCTGTTTATGGCTTGAAGCACCAATTGTTTTGTGGTGGTGGTGGCGGCCGGTGGTGGTGGTGATGATGATGATGAAGGTGCTACCTTCATGGTGCTGCTGCTCTGGGATAAGTTGGGAAAGCCTTGGGGCGAACACGGAGAAGAAGATGTCAGAGGGGACGGCACCAAGCCATGGATCTCTATTCGGATGTGCAGCATTTTCTCCGTCCATGTGGGCTCTGAAGTTCTGAAGTTCTGGAGATCTCTTTTTGGTTTCATCTCTTTCAGTTGTCTCATGACAAGGCTCCAGTCCCAAGAGTTTCGTGAGGGCAGGGTTTCAGGCTGGTTAGATGCATCGATTGGGCCGAGGTATCAGTTGGCCATAGAACTGGCGACTCGAGTTTTGCATAGTTTTGCATGTTGGCCCTTGAAATTCCGCTGATTGAGGCATCAGTCTCATCATGTTCATCATCCTGGTTATGGTGGCCTTCAGTTCCTTGGCCATGGGGGTGGCTACCTCAGCTATTCATTGGAGGCTTGAATGATATGAGAACCTCAATTCGTGGTAGTTACGGCGCTTACAAACTCTCGTTACGAACCACTTCTTCTTTCCATCATGATTGTTGGGCATATCCGAGTATATCTGGTATATTCTAGTTGGGCATAAGTTTCAATGAAACCCAATATGGCTTACTGAGTTTACTGTAGTTCATGATCCATTCAATTCCCCCTTTACTGTTCGAGACCGCCCCACGCCCAGCGCATCCCGCGAAAATCCAGGCATCGTTCTGACGGAGAACATCTCTACAGTGGCGCTGCTGCCGCTGGAGAGGATGTTGGACGTGGTGCGTGCGGGGTCCGAATGGGGACTTTTCCCAAGTGGTTGGGAAATTGGATGGAAATTGGGGGGATGTGCCATTTTCTGGGCAATTTCGGTGAAATTGGGAGATTTACTGACACTTTTGGATCAACCAAGTTTTTTGTGGGGTATGGGTCCAATACTGTATATTCGGGTATTTGTGGGATTTAAACATCAAACACGGTTAAAAAGCAATGATTATATATGATGGATACGGGTCAAAATCAGTGAGTCCCAAAATTGATTGTTTAATGGCCTCAAAAGCATTGGTATCCCAATTGCCCAACCCATACCCATTTGCTGATTTATGTCCACAGTTGATGGGTCTTGTCAGGCCATCGATGTGCACAGATCTTCAAGTACACCAACGCCTTGCAGGCGGCTGTGGGATCCCTCAAAGGGTGCAGACTTTGGGACCTTGGCCATGAATGGGTTGGAATAAAGTCCCCGGTGGGTTGTATGAGCAAAGTTCATGTCAGATTTGTGTGGTTTTCCCCCAGTGAACTTGGTATCCCATGGTGACGTGGAGGAGGAGCCACCCAGTGACGACGAGGACGAGGAGGAGCGTGAAGATGAAGACGTGGCAGGGGGCCTCGGAGCTGTCCCGAGCTGCCGGGAGAAGCCACAGCTTGACGAATTTCATCCCATCTTTTGGGGGTCACATTGCATGCCAAATCCATGATGTTGGCTTGATTGGCTTGAGTCCGGTTTGATCCACGCGTCATTGTTTGGACATGTTTGGTATGTAGCCACCAATATCCCGAACATTTTGACTTCATTTTTCCCAAATTAAGGTCGAACCTTTACCAACCATTTCAAGACAACATTTAATCATCCAACAAAAGTCTAAGTTCATCTTCCGAAGTTCATCTGAATATTTTATTGTATTCTTCCAATCATTTTCATAACCATCAATTAATATTCTATACAAGTTCTCAGGTAATATAGGTCATCCCGAAACAGATCAAGTAGGTCATTCCCAAAATTTTCTGGTGAAATTCTTGTCTTCGGTCATTCCCCAAAAAACGATCTGACGGTCATCTCATATTCCGGATGAAGATGGTTTCTGATATAAAATTCTTAGGTTATGACTAACATTTCGCCATGGAAAGATCCACCATGCTATTAATAACGGTAAACCATCTATTTCTATGGGCCATCTATACCATGGCTATGTTAGTCATAACCAGAGGGTAAATTTCTTAGGTCATATTTTTCTCCTAAGTGAATCTTCATGTCTACTTAGTATACTTCGACCAGACACTTCCCAGCACATTTTCCAAGGAGGACAAAGACGAAGAGGACAACGAGTTCGCCCTGCTGGAGAAGGCAGCGATGGAGAGGATGAGGAAAATGGGAGATGAAGCAAGAAGAGGCTGGCATTTTGGCTACAAGAATAGGGATGTACTGTATGATATATCTATTATTTATATATTACTAATATACTTATCTACTTAACTTACTTTATATGGAAAATAGTAAAAAACGAGAGATGAACCCATCAGAACTCTGGAATTTTAGCTTCAGCACTTGGGATTTTTACCTGCAAAAAGATCACCTGGTGATCATATGTTTTGGATGACTTGGGTCAGGTCAACAAGTCTTGGGGTATCAAAACCTGGGATTTCAGCATCCAATGCGTAGTGGATCTCCGCAAGGCGGTGGCAAAGCTGGGAGCCATTGCAGAGCTTTCTGCAAAAGACCAGGACTTGGTGGTGCTACTGGTAAATAAATTTATTAACATGCTTGGGGAATGGCTATACCTGATGATACCCGTGTCACGACGAATATAGCTTTTAAATGGGTTTTTGAATAGCCATTTGTAGCTGGAAAAACTCAATGAATCTACAAATGGGGAGATAGTTTTGGCCATTATCATGTTTATCAAAATGTTGCTGAGCATTTCTGTGCGGGTCTGTGTTAGTCTCGAGAGTCATGGTCTCGAAAAAGGGATTGCGCCTGTAAGGCGTAAGAAAAACAGAAAGACAATCAAACGAATCAAATGTGTTTTTTCGGGGAATGATTCACAGCTGAGTCATTAGATATTCTTGTTTTCAAAGCATTTGATGGTGTTTTTTCGATGTCGCTGTTGGGCTGTTGGGCTGTTGGAGCAGAAACATGATTCCATGGGTCATCGAACCGCTGGAACCCAAGCTCGCCAAGGCATTAGACATTTCATGCTGCCGTTGGTTCATTGAAGAAAACACAATCCATTCGGCTTGAGCTACGGATGACTGCTGCATGTAAGCCGATCCAGCCAAAACTGATGGAGTCCTTCAGGATCTTTTCACGAAACAAAGGCATCTTTTTCATCAAAAACACTTGAGAAGACCAAAGATCAGCTGTCCCCGGCTGTTCCTTCTCCCTGTTTCATGGATTTTCATGGCAGGATCCCAACGCCAAGAAGGACTGGACCGAGAACGAGATCATAGTGCTCCCACCCTGATTGCCATAGCTAGAGATATTTCGGCAAGGTGATGGTAGGTGTATTAGAATATGTTAATAATATTCACCCCGCTTCGCGTGGGGTGGCCGCCCACACCGCAAGTTTATTTCGGTCCGTGAGAGGGGCTAAGGGTGGTTTTCCCCCGTGGGGGCTCCCCAAGCTAAGAATTTTCACTTTCCCCCCCCGTGGGGGCTCCCCAAGCTAGGGAATTTTCACTTTTCCCCCCCGTGGGGGCTCCCCAAGCTAGGGAATTTTCACTTTTCCCCCCCGTGGGGGCTCCTCAAGCTAGGGAATTTTCACTTTTCCCCCCCGTGGGGGCTCCCCAAGCTAGGGAATTTTCACTTTTCCCCCCCGTGGGGGCTTCCCAAGCTAGGGAATTTTCACTTTTCCCCGCCGTGACAGCTTCCCAAGCTATGGAATTTTCACTTTTCCCTCCCTTGGAGGCTCTCCAAGCTGCGGAATTTCAAATAGCTAGACAACGACGCCTAGATAGTCCCCCAAATCCCGTGTTCTTTGAATGTGTTTCCATGTTTTTGCAACGGTTTCCTTCAAAGCACGGTACTTTACACTTTTGTCGCCATAAAACCGGTCGAAAACATCATGTTCGACAATGCTTCCAATTCCCTTATCTCCCCAACCGTTGAAAATACCGCTATTTACAGTGTTTTCTTCAATTTTTCCATGTGCCAATGCCGGTAGCCAACTCCAACATATATATAAGAAATCCTTCCAAAACATTGTTTTTGACAGTGTTTTTCCAATGTTTCCAGTCAAACAGACGGTAATTTACACGTTTTTTGCCATAAAGGCAGTAAATCCTTCCAAAACATTGCTTTTGACAGTGTTTTTGTAATGTTTCCAGTCAAGCATACGGTAATTTACACGTTTTTTGCTATAACGTCAGTCCAAAACACTTGTTTTTGCAGTGTTTTCAATGCTCTGGCATCCAAAAACCCTGCAAAATCTTGCTATGTACAATGTTTTTTTCATTTTTGGCCGTTTTTCCATTGCCGGAAAGCTACCAAAATGACCCAAAATTCCATTTCAATACCCTCTTGCGCTCAGACACCCAAAAATCCTCGAAAAATGTCGAAAACACCACCGTATTCTGGTCTCGGTGCGAAACCGTTTTTGGGCCCCCCCCCCAGCTAAAGCTGATATAGCGACTGCTATATTAACAAATGTCATTGAGCATTTAGTGTTGCTGTTGCCCCCCAATAAGCACGCCTTCACCGCCAAAGCGGTGTGGGCGGATTTAATTGCAACTACTTGAAACTACCTTGCAACTTGGAAGGGTTTGCTGTGAGAAAAATCTAGACCTTTTGGGTGTGCATACTAACCAGGGGTTGCCCCAGTGAGGATGGTTTCATCCATTGTACTAGACCACATTGAATGCAGGTGGTCGAGATTTTTCAGAACGGTCCGCAATTCCGAGACTTTCCAATCTTTGTATGTTGTCACATTGCAAGCTTCTTGCCCGACTCTTGCTTGGGTCTCTGGCATTTGAAACGCATGAGACAATCGCATCACGGTTGCCCCCCATGGTGTGCAGGTACATGAGTGGACCCAGCCGACCGAGAGCCTTCACAAACAGAGTGTGGTCAGTCAGGTCATGGATTTGACTCGAAGGCGGGTCCCAACAACGGAGCCCAACTGGTGTTCCACGGATTGTTTGTTGGGTTCCAGTAGAGCTGGGGTCAGGTGGGTAGGGGTGCTGAACCCATTTTGAACGTCAGTTATCATCCAAAACTCAAACCCATTCCTTCAACATGCGGGTGTGTCTGAAAATAGTGTACCCCTAAACCCAATGGTTTTGCTGATCATTATCCCTATGAAAAATGGCTATTTCATTGGGAATATACCCTATTTTCAGACAAACCCATGCTTACTCCGAGAGTGGAGTTTGTTGCAGGATGTCCATGCTGGTGGAGGCGCTGGGCCTGTTGGAAGAGTGTGAACTAGCTGGCATGTCGAAGGGATCGAGCAAAGAAGGCAAGGGATCTGAAAGAATTCCTATTGTGGGTAGAGGGCATCCAAAATTGGATCCATTTTTCTTTGCTCCAAAATTGGATGATTTGAGATCCCAAGACATGAAACGAGCCATTTGTGGAAACCTCACCATCCATTACTGGGTCATCTTGCAGGACAACGACGCCTTGATCAAACTGAACGAAGACGCGAGCACGGAGGTCATGGATGAAGCCAGGTGGGAGCATCTCCAACGTGGAGATGGTGCTGACATGTGGGTATGCTCCAGATTTCGACATGATCTTTGGAAAACTCAGGATGAAAAGTAGACCTCACATGGTTATCAAGTGCAGCTTGAGAACTTTGAACCCAGCATCTCTGTCGTTTCAACCCATGGCTGGTTGGTGCAGTATTTTTCTGCGGTTGATGCGGCTGTCTTTGAGTCTCAGCGGTTCAGGAAACCTGGCTTCAATGCCTTTAAGCTAACGCCTTCTCAGATCAAGGTGGGCTGTCACCAGCCTGGGAAGACTGCTGCCGCCTAGCGGCCTAGCGATTCAATGATGGGCCATGGGTCCTAATCAAGGTGGTGAATATACTGAATAAGGTTGTTCGGTAGGTTTGTGGGCAATTTTTGGCAATTTATTGGAGGAAGATTTCATACCGGGCTGAACATTCTCATTCTTTGTTGTTTTTGGCAGGGTAGGGTATCCAAGACTTGCAGTGCATCATAGGACATGTCGGGTTTGTCTCACACAGGGGGATCCCCCAGAATTGCCATGTCAAGCGGGAAATTATGATAACCAGTGAATTTTAGGGTTCCTAATTATGGGACAACCCCATATGCCACAATCTCATACAACCTCCTGATATCCTCTTTGTATGAAGGCGCTCAGCGTGCGTTTACTCCGCGAACAAGCCGGTACCAAGGACGTTTGCTGATCTGAATTGCAGCAATGGAAGTTGATCCCAACAACCCGGGTGCCGCCGACACCCTTGCTACAAGTTTACCACACTAACCATTATGAACCAAAAACATTATTAATCCATCATTTAACTATTATTATCCCATTTTTCACCATTGTGAACCATTAATGTCCCAGATTTTATAATATATGTATATATATAATATACTATATAGAAAGAAAGAAAGAAAGAAAGAAAGAAAGAAAGAACGAAAGAACGAAAGAACGAAAGAACGAAAGAAAGAAAGAAAGAAAGAACGATTAGATAGATAGATAGATAGATAGGAGAATGGTATTCCGCTGCCTTCGCTTACCAGCCCGTCCAATCTCCTGACCTGTGAGGACTTTGTACGACGCTACCTGAAACCCGTGGTCCTGGTGCAGTTCGTCAACGTCTTGGAGCCGAAGCTTTGGCGTAGCCATGGTAGCCATGGTAGCCATTGGAGCCAATGGGTTTCCCGGGTTTTCCTTCCTAAAAAATGGAAAAGGGATTTCAATTGACCATTTCTCAGTGGGTCTCAAACTGATCCGATTTTCGTAAACTTTTTACCAAAATGGATAAATGGATCCAAATGGTAGGAGGTTCACTACATGGTAAAGGGGGGAAAGAACTGGGACACCTCCATGCGTGATTTGTATGTCAGAACATGTGAAAAACCGTGGGTTTCCTGTAGTTTTTCGCATATTCACCTTGAAACAGTCTATAACGAGACGAGAAGCAGTCATTTTTTGCTCCAAATCCTTTCAACCATTGATAGCAAATCAACCTCACCATACTAGATCGTTTTTCCATTAAAACATCCATTTAGTTTGGGGATTTCCCAGCTAGCCATGTTTGAGAACACCAGAGGGTCGCCCAGGATGTACCTGCCAAATCCTTTCCACAACTTTGTGCACGCCGTGGATGTGCTGTGCTGGCTGACCATGGAGATGGAAAACGTTGAGGTGGGAAGTCTGCCATCAGCTGCATAGGCCCCGCCACGAAACTTGGAAGTTGGGTGGCCCTGGATGACAGGAACTGCTGGGATGGTGGAAGCATGTTGTTATCCTCCTGGCAGGTGCAAAGTTTCCTGGCAGACTCCGATCAGTTTGCCCTGTTGGTGGCTGCTTTGGGTCACGTCCCTTGGTCTTTGAACAGACAGGCAGGTACGAAAAAAGTTGGAGCTGAAAAATCATGAAACATCATGATGTCGCCGGGCTGTCCAGCTACAACTACCACTGGGTAGGGAACATCCCATTCCGCCTTCGCAGTGAGGATGTCGGACACCTGGGAGTCAACAACCAGTTCTTGGTGGCGACCAGCCATGAGCTGGCAGTGATCTACAACGACAAGTCACCACTGGAGAACATGCACTGCGGCTGGGTCGAAGATGGCTGAGGGATGCTGGGAGGAGAGGTTGGCAAAGCCTGGTGAGTTATGATGATGCGGGTCATTTTTGTTCATCTTTTTGGGTCGACTCGAGGTGAAAGCATTGAAATCAAGCCCACCCTGATTTTGAGGCAATGTGGCCATTGAACCCATTTGCATGTTGTCTAGGTGTCATGCATTTCAATTCAGGAAAGTAGAGCCCCTATGAAAAAAGTGGCAAGCCTAGTGGCAACCCTTCCTCAACCCTAGGCCCTAACCTTTATCAACTGCCAATGAGGTCATCACTACTATCAGATCCAATCGCCAGCTGAGGTTGCAAACTCTTCCAGGTCCTGGGGCACGAGGCGCAACTCTTCCAAGCCCTCGACAAGGAGACGACTGCGTGGCCAAGCGTGGGAACGTACGGGGTGCTCCAAACCAGCTGTGGAACCCTAAAATGATCTCAAAGGAGAGAACAGTGAATTCCTGCATATTTGCAGATCTCTGCCGTTTCGAAGGTCTTTTTTTCGTGAAGACACGCTACAAAGGATGATTCAGAAACCATTCCTACATGACACGTTGGAAAACCGATCCAAACTGACATTCAACGGCAGGAGACCTACAAACGCATGCGCAAAGACATCATTGAGGCGCTGAACGGGCTGGGCATCGCCTGTATTTCTATGATGAGTCAAGAGGATATATTGGGGACACATAGGTCCAGGAACGATGGTGGGATAGGTTATGATAGAAAAGACAACGCAGATGATTTTCCTCTTTCAAACAGTCATTTCAAAAACCATAGATGCAAATTTCCATCCATTTTCCATGGATAGTTACCATTGATCCATAGATTTTCCTCTTTCAAACAGTCATCAATGCAAGTTTCCATCCATTTTCCAATTTAGTGTTTCCACGAATTGCCTCCAAATGGTTCCAGCAGCAGGGGATTCCCATTGCGAACATAGGCGATCCTCCACACGGACATCACCAAGCACAATGAGATGGTGAAGGTGGGGATGATCAAAGGTCATGAACAATGATAAATGATGAAAGATACCCTCTGGTAAACTAACATAGCAATTGAAAATGGCCATTTATAGTGGATTTACCCATTAAACATGGTGATTTTCCATAGCTATGTTAGTTTACCAGAAGGTAAATGATGCCGATTTTGCCGCTGCCGGTGTTTACTCAAGGGTTCCAAAGGGACATCTTGGGACACTGCAAAGCATGCTTGCGCTGCGCTGGGAAGGACTTGTCCTTGTTCTACCAGATGAACAAAGACGTCCTGAACATCGCGGAGCTTTCGGCCGAGGCCCCTGCAGCTGGTGGCCGAGGATTGAGTGGGGTCTTGGAGCTTCAAATGACAGAACCCTCCCAATGAGCCACAGGTCAGGATGGTTACAAGCCAGTGGTCAATGGGATAAGACATGTTTTTTGAATTACCATAGTCACCATTCATAGTTACCAACCATAGTTGCCTACTAACCCCGGTTGCCAACAATAATTTCCTAGTAAACCATAGATACTCCTACTGATCATACTTCTTTGCAGCCTAGGTTTCCCATAGTTTAGTCATCCAGCAGAGTTATCAAGTTAACAGTTATTCCACCACATTTACCAGTTGCCAAGCATAGTACCAAGCATAGTACCAAGCATATTTTTTTTCAACCTGGACCATAAGTACCAACCAAAGTACCCAGCATAAATACCTTATTCATCCATATTTACAAAAATATCGTTTACCAACCAGAAGTACCTTATCCATCACAGTTTCCCAGCGACGGTCTAGTCATCTTGGGAGGCCAGGGAGGTGCTGAAGTCCAATACGTCGCTGATGATGTGCAGCTTCCTTCACTCCGCGGACGTGCCGCGGAGGGCGACGGTTGGTTTAGGGTTGATGTGGGGGAAATCCTCAAGAAACTCATGGTATAAATACCATGAAATTCGCCAAAATCAATGTAATTTTTTTTCCAACAAATCATAAAGCCCCTTTTTGACACACTTTTCCATTTTTTAGGGACGGTTTTCAATTTTTTTGAGCCGCTGGGATTCCTGACTAACATCGGGGTAGTACGCAACCAACACCGGCGGGAGGTTGTAACCAAACATCATCCAACAGAAAATATCGAATGATTTCGATACGGTCAATATATGATGTACTGTATATAATATATTATAATATAATAAAAACATATAATAAATATATATATATATATGTATATATGTATGTGTTCATCAAGAATAGTAGCCCACTACATGTCAACCAGCACTCCGACCACCAGGGGAGGTACTCCCCGACCTGTCCGACCAAGGTGAACAACCCTTCGAGGCCCTGGCACATCGCGGAGAAGATGGCACATCTTTGCAGCTTGGAGGATGGAGGATGAAACCTCCATCTTTTGGAGGGTTACCCTCTGGTAAACTAACATAACTATGGAAAGATCCACCATTTTTAATGGGAAAACTCACTATTTCAATGGCCATTTTCAATAGCTATGTTAAATTACCAGAGGGTAAATACTCACAATTTGACCAAAGTTTAAGTTGTCTGGCACCACAAGTTTGAGCCATAGTATACCATAACCAGATTTAATGATTTGGCTGATGAACCTTTACATTTGTTGGATTTTGTTGGTTTATCATTGGCTTTGTCACGGCATTTCAATCCCATCGAAGGGTAAAAGTACACATTGTTTGGACCTCCAAGTCATCTGGAATTCACATCAAAATAATCGGTAAATGATGGTACAAACAATAATTGGATGTGAAATAATCTAATGATGGATATGATGGCACCAAGTCATCAATAATAAGTGGATGTTCATCCCAGTCATATGCAAAGTCATAAGATTTGACCCAGCTTTCGCCCAGGTGTCGATGAATTCTTCGCTCAGGGTGATAAGGAGAAGGAGCTGGGGATCCCCGTGGGCATGTTGAACGATCGCGACAAGGTCAACAGGTGCGGTCAACAGGGGGAAATGGGGGCTCCATAAAAAACCAGGGACCAGGGTAGGAAAACGAATCTTACCCCATAGTGCCATAGTTTTCCCCATGGATTCTGCTGAATTTCATGGATTCTCATAGAGAATGGCAACAGAAGGACACTTATGGCACTTTCCATCCTGACCTTGGCACATGGCGAACTCAGGGCTTTCTCGCAGATTGGATTCATCGAGTTCATGATCGCCCCATGGGTCGAGGCGAGGCTGTGCCGGTTGGTTTCGGTGACTTGTAGTCCTTGATGAGATCATTCTTTGGTCATTTTCTGTTCAATCTCAGCTGGTGATCTTGCGTGCTTCCACTTGGTATATCCAACCGTTTTAGGGGGTCCTTTGATGCGAACGTACCGTTTCAGGCACTCGTGCCGATGTTCCCCGTCCTGGACTTCATGGCTGACTACACCGCAGAGTCGCTTTGGCCAACGGGATGTTTGTTTTTTTTGATGAAACGAACGGTGAATCTCCGGGTTCCAGTTGTTCCGGGGCAAAAGATCATTTTGCACCAGATTTCCATAGAGATCTTGAGGATTTCGACATTTCTGATGGAAATTGTTTGCTAAGGAACATCCATAAATGGGCGGTGCTCTGGGAAAACGAGGCGCCGGTGCAGCAGTTGATGTTGGGATGCAAGATTCCACAGCCACGGGTCAAACTCCTGGTAGTTGTGGATGTTCATTGACCACCATTGACCCAAAAAAAACCTGGGAAAAACCACAGATTCCATAGATATGAATTCATGCATCCCCTATGGTCCTATGGATCCTATGGCTCCCATTACATTCCCCAAAGATCACCTTATTTTTTGGGACTATCAAAATCCAGGCCAGAGGGATGTTCGTTCCATGTTCACAGGAATTTACTCCTCTGGTAATGAAACATGGCAATGGAGAATTCTGGATTTGTAGATGACTTTCCCCAGCTATAAACCTCCATTTCTAGAGGATTTCGTAGATGAAAATCCCATGAGAATCCCTAATTTTTATTAATTTTTGATGTTGATGGCAAAAAGATGTTATTTTTCATGGTAAGATCCCCTATTCTATCTATTCTATCTATTCTTCATCCCAAAACACCCAAACCTCTTCATCCACGGCCGAAAAACAACACCCACAGCGGGTGGATTGAGTGGATCGCTGCCAGGTGGAGCCACCCGCCGAGCAGGTGGAAAAGCTCACGCTACGCGTGCAGAAGGCGGTGCAAATCCATGGCTTTTATGGACCCCAAAAACCAGCGGATGGACACATCATAGGAGGAGCATAGGAGTCGCCATTTTTGATCCATTTTTCCGAGACTTTCTGGAATTCTTCAAACATGTGTTTTTTTGTGGTTCAGGAAATGGATATGAATAGAAGTCGTCTATTTTTCAGTGTCCTGTGCAGGTATTTCCAAGATTTTCCAAGGATGCAACTGGGATCCTGACATGATACAACTGCACTTGATATCTTGAAATCATGGTTTGCGACGTTTGGCTGGTAGATTTCTGCACTCGACCGCCAAAGTCTCCGACCTTTTTTGCAGGTGGTTGGAAAGCTGATGACACAGAAGGGCCCTTTGGCGAGGGAACAGCTTAAAGAAATGGGTCAACAAATCATCCAATATGATCCAACAAATGATCCAATATGGGACAGTCTCGATAATCCAATATTTGTGGCACTTGACTCACTTAACTGTACTCATGACGCATACACACCATCTTCCGGACAGTTTTTCGTCATGGGACTCATTGAATCTCAATGGGTAGGGGTGGAAGCCCGTGACAACTGCGTCACACAAAGTTCCCCATGCCACGAAGCAAGGGAAGAGATCGGCACTCTGAGTTTTACAAAGACTTTTATTACATACAGATATCAAAAAAGTTCAACTTTCATATATAATATATATATATGTACTGTATACTGTAATAGAATGTAATGGATATCTTGATACTGTACAACATATTATGTTATATCATATTTGATATAATTACTACATATTAATCATATATTTGATAAACATTATCCTGTCCCAAAAGCAGTTGACCTTCCAGCGCACTGTCCAAGGCAAAGCTCTCTGATGCTCCGTTGGACGTCCCGCAGCACTGGGATCGGTGGTAACTATGGTGGTAACTATGATATGTCATAATAAGCAACACCAGTTTTATGTTTTACCATCTACAACATATAAACTATGGAGATAAACATGGTTGTTGTGTCCAAAAGCAAAGAAACTATCAACATATATGTATGTGTAACACCAGTTTTCGAATGCAATTGACAACATTTAACAACATCCAACAACTATCTATGAAACACACTGGTATACAAGGGCCAAGAACAGAGGCTTGGTAGCTTGAAAACTGGCAACCCCACAAGACGTATGCAATGATTAGACTGATATATTGAAACATGCAATACATGGCACATGAAAACTCACAGTTGACACTCGCTAGCTATGAGTATATGCTACCCACCAATTGAAACTGTTAATTCGACCAATAGGAATGTGGGTGTTGACCCAAGCCGGACCCAAGCCGGATGGAGCATTAAAAACCCCGACATCGTAAAGATCCAATTGGTAATCCCAGCGTTGCGGTGGCACTGTACACATGCTGCAAAGGATCATGCAAATCCCAACGAGCCGATGTTGCTCCGTGCGTGAAATCGACGCAAGATTGCCAAGCATGACCCAGTTGAGGCGTCAGTTAGACACCCGCGCCTATCACAAGGAGGGTGGCCATGCGCCTCCCTCAGACCGTTGAATGGACGCCAAATGGAGTTGGAACGGCCGACAGAGACAGGGCACCGTCAAACTTGGCAGACATGTGTTATGCCCACAGCCACTAACAATCGCTTGAGATAATCTGGGTTTGGCATTCCACTGCTAGTTGGGGCATCCAAGCAATGCTGTTCTGATTCCATTTGCCGTTCCGCGGTTGGGCCGTTGTCATGTGAAACCAGGCGGTGTACCTTTGAGTGACATGCCCTATCCAGAATAGACAATTGAATTGAAATCAGCAAATCCAACAATAAAGCCCAAAACTCCAAAACCATCAACTTTGAAGACCAAAAGACCACTATAGGTATAACTCAGTATAACCATCTTTTGATCTTAGATTCATAGCTCCAGCCTTCAACAAAAGATCTCAGGGTGGATCATGGCATCTCGGTGTGGCAAAGTTTCCACCGGCGGGGAGAAAATGGAAGCTGACCGCTCCAAACCCCCAGATGATTGATGGGTTTGTTCCTCATCTTTGGATCTCAACAACAGTTTCATTGAAGATTCCGTGAGACTGCTGGAATCATTTTTCTCCATATTGATGAGTGACTTTAGATGGGGCAATGAAGCCATCTGGCTCGCATCTTGCAATGCAAGGTGACCAAGGTTGACACGGATAAAACTCGATGAATGTTTGACATCACTTGCTATCCTTGAACAAGGGAGGACAAATCTTGATGGCAAAGGATTTGGGGATCCCCAGGTACAGACCAGCTACAGAAGGGAAAAATGCCGTTGAAACAGTAGTGACTTCGACGTTTTACACGGCTCTTTCAACCTTTCACTAATTTACCCCACAACCTTGGAGCCGGCATTCCCCTCAGTGCTGCTCCTCACCCCTTGAAAACCATGGACTGGAAACCCAAATATATACTGGGTTTATCAATTTTCATATTGGAAATTTACAGCTATGTGTTGAAACTTGCTTTCATGTATACGATGAGTTTTTAGCCAGTATCAGCTTCAACTTCCATATGATACGTGTAGATGTGTACAGTATATGTAGATTTAACATGATAGAGCATGATTTAACAGCCCATTCCAAAACTCCCGTCCAACACAAGGGCCTCCCCTTCCCTGGCCATGTGGCGCCTATGGACGCTTGCGTGCTGGGCCAGTGTCGGAGCGCGACCGGGGGCGACTTGGACTGGGCCATTGATCAATAAACCCCCAAGGTGGCTTGATTGTGGGGTATCAGTTTAACAAGTTTAACAGCAGTCTATATGACTTCTTTGGGGAATCTTCTTAATGTACCATTTTGATAATAGTCTTGTTTTTTCTGGGCACGCCCAGATGTGGCTTCTGGGACCATTTCCTTCCCTTGGTTTCAGTTTCTTTGGACCGTTTCAAGTTAGTCCAGACCGAACCTCTAAATTGGCACAGAGTTTGCAGAGAGAAACAATTGCATGCCCTTCAACAGGCACTTAGCTAATTCAATACTGAACATAACATCATAGATAACCAGTACTACTTAGTACTACTTTACCTCAGTTATCCTTAGTTACCCTACTTCTCCAGAAACGTATTATTCCTTGGGAGACCATTGATTTGTGGTCCAACTCAGGGCGAAGAGCTGCTTCCGGGCATCACCGATTACCAGCTGATCGATGCCTACGAGGCGGGGCCCCAGTGATGCTTTGAATCAGGGTACCCCAAATGGGTATGGATCAATACCCATTAATACCATTTTTAGGGGAATGAACATCCATAAATCCCAGCTATTTTGATGTGAACTACAGGGGTACAAGGTTTTGACACACTGCCAAATTTGTTTTTTTTTTCATCATTTTCAGACAACTCCTCACAGCCAGATGCAGCGTGCCCAGGAGCTGGTGGCGAGCGTCACCAAGATGACACCTCTAGGGCTGGAAGATCTGCCGCAACGCTGCTTGGAGCGTTGAAACTTTGGAAGGAAATAGGGGAACCACAATGGAACCACCTCAAAATCTTCAAAGACTTGGTATCTGATGTGGGTTAGTGGGTTATGAATAGGACTCCGGAGTTGGATTTAGTTGTTGCACCATCAAGGATCTAGGTGCAAAGAGTGAGAAAGGCACCAGGATCCATTCGGAATGGTGTCTTGCAAACCTACCAGAAGACAGGCAGATGACCGGCATCTTCCACAGGCAACACTTGGAGCAACAGCGCCAGCGGCTGAGGCTTGGTGCTCTTCAGCACGTGGTACATCGCTTCCCGAACCCTGTGGAGTGCTCTGCGGGGAGAAAGCTGTGCCTGTGCCTTGGGCTGCAGCTGGTGTTGTTGGGGAGGCTGGCAAGGTGCAGAGATCAACTTTCTCTGTTGAAGGTGAGAGTTCCAATGTCTGAATGGCCGAAATTTATCAAGGCGTAGGTGTATCGTGCAGTCTTTATACCTCGTTTCATGGGTGAAGACTATGAATAAGAGAGAGAGAGAGAGAAAACCTCTAAAGGGGGAAGACAGCAAGAGAGACTATAGATACCCAAAGATAGCCGACTGTGGCTTTGACAAGACTGGTCCGGTTCAATCCGGTTTCGGATGATGATCAGAATTTTCGGAGGGTAGAAACACACAATGAAACCATCAAGCAGCGTCCCGGCTGTCAGGTTATTTTGGCACCGACAACCCTTCCAATGTGCCACCGATGCTTAGAACCAGGTGCCTTGGGTGGCTGGTGTTATGGTGTTAGAGGATTGGTGCTTGAGTGACTGCAATGTTTCCACTCCATACGCTGCCAAAGTTTACAGGCTTGCTCCAACCAATTATCGGTCAATTTTATATGTCAGTCATAGCCACAAGGGTGAAATCACATCTTAAACATTCTTTAACTAGCCATTCCCATCCCTATTTGGGGTGTTTCATCACCGAGGATCTGTGAGATGGACTTGACAGCCATCGAGACAGTAGCTGGGCAGCTGGTGGATATGGGATGATATGGGATGGACAAATGAAGGAAATGGATTTGGAACTTCTTCAGGACCTTCAAAGATCAGAAAAAGCTGGCATCCACATCAAACTTTGGGCCACCTTGGAACCTTGCAACCCTTTTGCGGCAAGTTCATCATTTTCCCATCAGTTTTTGGGCCTTAAAACTCGGAACGTCGCAGTGCCGGAGGTGAGCCCCTTCCTCTTCGGCGGCAGCGATCTGCTGCCGACGGAGAAGAAGGACCAGACACCGCCGGTGCTGTGGGCGATGATCGCCAAGCGCGCGATGTGCGCGGCCGAGTCCATCGCTGGTTGTGGACCCGTTGCACTTGGGCACCCTTCGGAAATCAAACGTAGCGACGTAGCGGTTGGAAATCCCGGATGTGCCCGATGGAACTAATTGGGTAATTTTCCATTGCCATGTTTGAGTACAGGAGGGTATGGGGCAGAATTTAAATGAATTTAAGGCCCCAAAACTGCAGATGGATCGGTGATTTTAAGCATGAACTATCCAATATAGGTGTGACAGTCCTTGCGGATTTTGTGGGTCAGGTACTTGGCGGAAGTTACGCGAACGCACCAGTTTCAGGGAGATCCCGAACTGGAGGTCTGAGATTGGTCAGCACTGAGTCCTGGTCAAATGTGGAATCCAAGAAACACCTTGGAATTGGAAGGTGCCTTCAAGATCCTTCAAGCATATTTGTACTCATTTGTACTCATTCGCAGGTGCGACTGATCTGACTTGACCAGACTGTAACAAGCAACCAAGAGAGCGTTCAGGACTTGCCAAACCTTTTGTCACAACTTGGACACTCAGAGTTTAAACATATGAGAATGCCATGCCTGACGGGTTCTACCCACGAGCCCACTATACTGGGATGTGATATGTGCCGTTTGCATTTTTCGTAGGGGGTTGTCAAGCATCCTTGTCAGAGGCCTACACTTATCGGGATCATTGTGCACAACTTTTCATATTCTCACTAATTGAAATATGTACAACTAGATTCACATCGAATTTTGATTTGGGATTCTTTTATGGATTTTTTCACGAAGGGGTCCCCAACAAAATGGCAAAAGAGCATCTGAAAGGAGCAGGATGAGCATCCACAACTACCAGCTATGTCCATGACATATCTTGACATAGCTTTCATAACCCAGCTATTTCCATAGTTAAATATGGTTTTTCATATGGTTTCATATGCTTCAATCATGATTCATGCTAAATCCTGATGACTGACAGACGTCCCAATGTTTGATGATTCACCAACATTCACCATCTCTGCCCGCCAACCGTGGAGGCCTCCATGATGTCCATGGCAGATCTGGCAGCCTCCGAGCACCTCAGATACCAGCAGTCATATTGGTGGATCCAAGTCATGACTCTGGTGACCAACAGGGTTTTTTCCGTATACCATTGGGGGGGTACCATTTAAGTATTGGATTATGACTATTGGAGGGTGCCCCCTAATTAATAAACCATGGTTTATTAATCCGGGGTTGACATTACCAAAGATTGTTGGACTCGGCAATTGCCTTGTGAAATCCAAAGTGCACAATCCATACATCTCGGCAATTGCCAGATGGCATGCAACTGCGCAGGGAAACAATGAGGACTGCATAGGGGTCCATTCTCTTCCCCCCTTTGGGACGTAGCCAGGACTTCCTTCGATCATCTTCCCAAGTCTATTGAATATTGGGTATGATTCAGATTAATTTTCCCAAGTGGATGGTTCACTACCAAACACAGCTTATTTTTTCCATAGAAAATTGCATTTCTTTAAACTCGAATTGGAAAATTGTTCGGAAAATCGTTTGGCCCCAAAGAATTGGATGGTGTTATTTTTCTTGCAGGCTTCATTGTTTAAAAGTCTTGTATGTTTATATAATTTTATATATACCCTCCGGCAATCAAACGTGGCAATGGAACATACTTTATAAATGGAAGCTCAACGGGAAAATCATCAAAGTTTTTTTAAAGTATAAATTCAGTAAATGTGGTATTTTCCAGCAAACCATGTTGCCGGAGGGTAGATGGTTTCAATACCAAGCAATTTGTGAGTCCATGTGAATCCATTAGCCCCGTCTTTGAGATTGGGGACTTCATGGATGACGGGGCGGCCGCCTCGCATTGTGCCTGGGGCCCCAAAAAGGGGCCCAACACGGGGGGGTTTGGATACTTTTGTGCCGTGGGCCACCACTTGGGCCATATACTTCAAACTCCAAGTCGGGGTTCGGAATTCAAGTTTGGGGTGATGACAACTCCGAAACTTGGATGGTTTGATGTGGTTTGTTGCTAAAATTTATGGACAAACGGGAGTTCTGCCATCTAAATTTTTGACTCATGCTCGTTATTGGTAGGGTCATCATGAGGAGTATCTTATGGCGAATTCCCATGTTTTGTAGGCGAAGGGGCAGAGAATCCCATAAACTCTCAGCCTTTGCAGCAAGGGGTGACCATGCATGGTTGGGCCATGTCCCAATACATATGTGCCTGCAGCCAGTTTTTTAAGCTTTAGGAGGACACATGTCATTTGTCAACTTTGCGAGATGCTGAAGGCACCGAAATACGCGGGTGAACACGGTAAGAGAGCCCCAATTTCAATGATTTCTGGGATCAAATCAACATTGCAAAGACAGCTGCAAAGTCAACCCTATCCTCCCACACAAGGTGGTTCCCTCCCAGTTATAACTTGGTTTATAAACCATATCAAGTGCCATATATATATATATATATATATGCACCAGGCCCTGCCACCCCCCCCTCCCCTCCCCCCCCATGGGATGGGTCCCATATACTGGCCCCATATGAGATCTTCCCCCTCCCCCCCTGTGGTGTGGTGGCGGTGTGGCACTGTCCCCCTCCCCCCCCTGTGGTGTGGTGGGGGTGTGGTATGGTATGTTGGGTATGTATGGTGTGTATGGTCGGTCTGGTATGGCATGTTTGGAAAGTATGGTATGTTTGGTACGTATGGTAGGTATGGTATGTATGGCATGAGTGGTTGGTATTGTATGGATGGTAGGTGTGGTATGTAAGTCTGTTGGGTATGGTATGTTTGATATGACAGTATGTATGGTCTGTATGGTATGTATGATTACTATGATGGGTATGGAAGATTTCCTATGTAAGGTAGGTATGGTATGTATGGCATGTATGTTTGCTATTGTATGTATGGTAGGTGTGGTAATTACATTTCATATGTATGGTATGTGTGGTATGTATGATAGATATGATAGATATGATAGGTATGGTATGCATGGCATCATTGACATGTATGGTAGGTACGGTATATGTTAAACACAGGTAGTGTTGTCAGAGTACACAGGTAGTAAATAGGAAGTAGATACAGTAGATACATAGCACATGTATATATGACTATAGGTAGCACGTAGGTACTTTGAAGGAGTATGTGTGCTACATAGGTCGCCTAAAAGGTAGCATGTACCTAGTAAATGCGAGGCTGGTAGTCAGAAATGCTGCAAAGACCTAGCAAATACGAAGCTGGACCTCAGAAATGATGCCAATAGCTTGCAAATAGAAGGGAATTGGGGCTGCTACCTGGGGACCCAACCCATGGCGGGGGGGAGGGGGGGGAGAGACGGAGGACGGGACAATATATACACCTACCATAAACATCCATAAACATCCCGCAGGGGGGAAAACCGCGCCAGCCTTTTTGAGCGTTTTGAAAAAAAAATGTCGTGTTCGCCATAGCGAACCTGCTGATTCATTCCCCAAAATGGTCTTAAAAATCCCCGGGATTTTGAAGTGGTTTTTTAACGATGACCGACGATGACCTGTAATTTACAGGGAATTTGTGCCTGAAAACTCGCGCGATTTTTTTTCCACTCACATTGCCATAAGATTCTTCAAGGCTTGACCTGTGACCTTCATCAGACCTTTGGTCGTGGAGTTCATCCAACGCCACTGCCACACCCGGATGCTTCGCATCAACTTTGGGTTAACATGGCCGTTGGATCTGGTCGGGGGACTGCATGGTATGGCAGACTTAGATAGTCGCAAGTTAACATCAACGTTAACATCCGCACACCCCCAACCCAGTGACGTAACGTGAGATGTGCATTTGACGCAAGTTAACAGGAACGTTAGCATCCCCACCCCCCCTCCAACCCAGTGACGTAACGTGAGATGTGCATGTGACGCAAGTTAACATGAACGTTAACATCCCCGCCCCCCCAACCCAGTGACGTAACGTGAGATGTGCATGTGATGCAAGCTAACATGAACGTTAACATCCCCACACCCCCAACCCAGTGACGTAACGTGAGATGTGCATGTGACGCAAGTTAACATGAACGTTAACATCCCCGCCCCCCAACCCAGTGACGTAACGTGAGATGTGCATGTGATGCAAGCTAACATGAACGTTAACATCCCCACACCCCCAACCCAGTGACGTAACGTGAGATGTGCATGTGACGCAAGTTAACATGAACGTTAACATCCCCACCCCCCCAACCCAGTGACGTAACGTGAGATGTGCATTTGACGCAAGTTAACATGAACGTTAACATCCCCACCCCCCCAACCCAGTGACGTAACGTGAGATGTGCATGTTACGAATGAAATATGTGTGTTTTCAAAAACGGCCAAAAACGCTGGCGCGGTTTTCCCCCCCGCTGGCATAAACATCCCTAAACCCTAGTTATTGGAGTTCAAAACCGACAAAAACCAGCAAGTTTGTCATGGAATCCCCCAAGATCCATGGTGCCATGGCTCTGGTGGCCCTTGGTGGTGAGTTCAGGCAGAATCCATAAATCCCAGCTATTTGGGACCTGCGGTGTAATCTGACGAGTTCACAGCTAGCTGCTGGCAACCCAAAACTGGTGATTATCCATCGCCAGGTTTGGTTTTGAGCGGGGATTTACCACTTAAATCACTTAGTTTTCCAAATGTTTGATACTTAAATTACCTTAAGACCATTTTTGAATGGTTAACCGAACGGTTAACCACCTCATTTTGAGTTGCTCAACTCTGCATGTTGCAACTGGGGCAGCCAGGCAGCCCCACGCCGTGCTTGGCGAAGCGGCGTTTTCCGGATGCGCGCGAGCTGTCGCACCAGACTTTGATCTCGGGGCTGACGTCTTCAAAGTTCAAACAGGACTGGTGAAGGCACTTAGTGACGATCATATGAAACACCCCCCTGAACTGGTATGCTCCAAGAAAGGATTGAAAACTGGAGAAGTTAATTTCCAAAACGGTTTGAAACATCCCGGCCGAAAGTCGTGTTTCTATTTTTGGGGCGAGATGAAGACCAGGCTAAAACCAGCCACACCCTGCAAAGCGACAGGATATCATTGACCTCTTCCGAAGCGATAGATATGCGCAGACCACTGCGCTGGACATTGGTGCTGGCTCAGGCACCACCACAGCAGTCGCTTGGGCTACAGCCTGGGGATGCTAGGGGGACCTGACCGGGGCCGGACTGAGGAAGTCTTGGATGGGTAGTTGAATACCCAAATCTGTTATCATCAATGCAGTGGAATACACCATGTATCACCATGTATCACCATGCATATCATTTTGCGGTTTCCCAAGGCTCAAAAAAGGGATGCTTTTGAGTGACACCATGAGAGTGTCAGTACTTCAGAGCGGTAGAGAAATTGACATGATGGATGAAGAATCGGAGAGGGCTAGAAACTCTCGAGCAAGGAGTTGGAGAAGACAGCTGCAAGCTAGTCCAGCTCCAGAGTCTCCATCGACATCACAGATGCTTCGAGCTGTGGAACAAGGGACTCCTGACAGCCCAATTCCAGAACTCAATACCTGAGGCCACACAGCCGCAGCCGGAGCACCCATGTCCTCAGCGCCGAAAGAGGTTGTGAGGAGCTTTATGGGCGTGGCCGACAGATGGCACCACCAGGTTGAGGAGAACTACCAGCTAAAGCTCATACTGGCAGAAAAAGGGGCAGAGATCAAGATGAACCAGCTGGAAATTGAGAGGCTGAACTGAGACTGAAGGAAGCTCAGGTTGAGATGAATGGAAAGGCGTTCATCTGAGCAAGATGCAGTCCCAGCTAGAAGTCCTTCCAGGCGCTCAATGCCAGCTCCAGCAGTTCCCCAGCAGCCGAAAAGACATGCAGAAACTGCACCTCCAGCTGTGCAAGTTATCAACTCTTAAACATTTTGTTCTGGACAAACGCTGGACTTTCTAGAACCTGAGACGGCTGCTTGGTGAGTGCCCAAAAACCTTAGAACACTTCATGGTTTTAGTGTCTCCCTATCACCATCAGACGTTAAAACACCGAGATGTTCCACACTTTTTTTACTGGTCGACAAAACATCGAGAAATAGCATATTTTTTTAAAACAACAAGTATCTTTCAATCGAACCAGGTTCCTGGGACGCTTAAGCTGGAGTTGGTGGGAGTGGGAACGATCCTGGCTTCCTAGCCATGAGAATGAGTGATCCTATGGGAAAGCTTGAGCATCATGCACTCTTCTATACACTCGTTGCCTGTACTTCATTTGCTCAAAAAATATCATCTCGTGATTGGCAGGCGCTTCTATATCGTTCTGTGCAACAAAAATGAAACAACGTCAACTGCAATAAAAATAAAACAACGTCAACCGCAGTCTGAAGTGCCTTGGCTGCAAGCTCTTGAGCGTTCCGATTCACATCGTTCTTCAGAGCAATTTCGTCAACATCTTTCAACAGCAAGTTTGGCAGGCAGTCCTCTGCAAATAGCCAGTGCTGCATGAATGCACGCGAGTCAGGTGCAGATAAGCGACAGTTGGTGCTCTTCTGCTTCTTCTTCGTGATCGACGCCACTCCTTGGTGCCAGGCCTTCTCAACGGTGGCAATCTTTTTGGCATCTGCATCTGACAGAGCAAAGTCACGCTCACAAGCAGGGAATGGGTCCTGCGGTTTCATGGTGCTCCCGTCACGACAACTCTGGAGGTTGAGCCCTACGAAAGGTTTTTTTGAGGCATATTCTGGCACAGCCTGTTGACATTATTCACGGAAATGACATTCTGAATGACGACACGTTTCACCACTTGCTTTGCCTGGGAGAAAGTGGCCTCATTGGCGCAGCTTTAGCAGCTCCATGCTGCTGTAAGCATAGCCGGGCCACACTTCGCAGACCCGGACCACCACCAGTCCAGACCCCACAACATCTTGATGGCGTGCCTGGGAACACAATCGCCCAACAACTTGCAGTGCAGGAATCTTCGATTGTGCACGACAGAGCGAGGCTTATGGAAAACCCTGACCAGTATGACATGGCTGGATGAGCTTGTGTTTACATGGGTCCATATTGCCACCCCATTTGCAGCACACGCCAAGTTTGCGAGTTTGGCACAAATTGGGCCAAGACGTGGTGTTTTGTCTCCAACAAGCCTGGCATCAAGGACCCAGCGCTCACGAATCTATTGCGGCTATCCGGTGCCGGCTGCGGTGATTGCTCCATACACTACACATAAGGGCATGGCTTGCAAGCTGAGTGAGTGGAGAGATCGGTTGCCAGCTACATTCCCATGGCCACGTGTAGCCTCCAGAATTGAAGATGGGGGTGGTTTGCCAAGCACAGCCTTGCACACTGCCTCTCTAGGCCTCTAGGCCCCAGGCATCTCACCATTGATTGCTATTCGCAAGAAGTGGTTTCAACGCCTGTGTGATTGAAGAGAGTGCTTGAAGATTGTGGCTCATCTTCAGGGGCACCTGGTGAGATCCAGCCCTATGCTTCAGACATGCTTGAGATCCTGGGAGTTGCTGACCGTGCACCAGATGTGATGCATGTTGCATCAGGTCAACCATTCAGACTCAGGCTGTGGAAATTGCTCGCATCATGTTGGAATGATCTAGGCCTTGACTTTCTGGATGCCCTGGCGCATGGAGTCAAACTTGCATTCTCAGCTGTCACCGTCCCCAGCATGGCTACCCAACACTGCGATTTTGCCAGATGTCATTCCCTTGGTGGAACGCAATTCAGCTTGGATGAGCGCTTCAGTCATTGGTGGCCGAAGAAGTTGCAGCTGGATTTGTTTCCCTGGTTCCACAGATTGTGGAGGAGCTCAAGTCGAGATACGCTAGAGTGGCAGTGGGCAAATTAGGCTTAGTGATTGCTGAGAGCGGCTCCCCTCGCTTGGTTGCTGATAGCTCTGTCTCCAATGTGACCAACACAGTTTTGCCCACTCGCATGTTGCTCCCACGCATCAGTGACTTGCTGCGCTGTGCACCATCATCAACGGCTCGTGAACAGATCATCCAGTTGACATTGGACGTCTCAAAAAGCGCACCGGCGCACTTGGTACATCCAGATGATCGTGGCCTATTCTGTTTTTATGTGGGCGATGACCTTTACCAATACATCACTTTGAATTTCGGCGCCAGGGTGAGTGGTTGGGCGTAGGGCCGAGTGGCCGGCCTGATGATTCGCACCTCGCATGCCATCCTTGACCGCCACAAACATGCACTTTGGCAGTACGTGGACGATCTGTTTGCATGGCTCGACAAGCAGTCAGCCCCGCTTTGGGCATCATGTTTGGTCTCCTCTATACAGAGCATTGAGGAACAGTCCACTCATAATGGTGGGGGTTGATCATGTCACTTTCGCTGAACTTGTTGATGGATTTTCGAATGATTTGGTACTCGCATCACCTATGTCAGCCCGGCATCACAGTTTGATTGCGGGCATCCGTTTGCGACGTGTGGCCAACACCAATGTTGTCACCAAAGCAGAGACCTTCCTGTGAAGTCCAGGGAGGTATGGCTTGGCATTTCTGATCCATCACCCCCCCACCGATTGCTGAATCAAGATGCTGTCGATGCTATAGTAGCGTGGCAGGCCATCTTGTCCTTTTCCCCATTTTGCATCTCCATGGTACAACCGCAGACTTTGCCTGATCAGGCCACAGCAGATGCTATGGGCAATATGGACTATGCAGGTTTGGGAGGTGTAGCTTTCTTCCCTGATGGATCATGCGTCTGGTTTCAGCTGAGGATTTCACTGCCAGAAGCCAAAGCACACAAAATCTACAGTTTCGGTGCAATCCCAGCTACTTTAGGGCCAGGTATGTGCCAAGAAGACTGACCCCAGAACACGTAATATGAGGAGACTGTACTGTATCAGGAAGCAATTACAAAGTGAAACAAGAGTGAAACTAACGAGCAACAAATCAATTGAAAAGGTGAAACTTGCGGGACAGCAACAAAATGATGTTAAGTGAAGGTTGTGCAGTGGAAGTGATAGTTCGGCTCACTGTAGCAGTCTGGTCGTGGCGAAATACCGCTTATCCTCTTTGAGCAACGTGTGGTATATAGTGTCTAAGACATAGACGGCAGGGCCGCCTCTTGACGCTGCGCAGCATTGTTCCGATGAGTCTGCTTGCTCGCCTCAAATGCAGCAACCACAGTGGGTTTGACTATCTTTTTCAACGAACGATTCGGGAACTTCATGTCAGCCCACTGCTGGTTGATGGCCACTTGAGTGAGATACACTGCCGGCGCTGGGTCGGCACAGACATGCAATGACACATTGCTGTATGGCAATTGCTCGCGCAGTTCATCCTCACTAGCTGCATTGCATCGCATTTGCCCTCCAATTGTGGTCCGGTTAAATGCCACCAAGGCACTGAGCGGACGCTGGCACGTGTATGCTGAAATCGCCATCCACATCCCTGGACACCTCAATGATTTGGCTGATGCACTCAGTCGTTTCGAGCCTCCATCACGTCCCTTGGACCCAGCTGCTCCACGGAAGATTGGCTGGCGGAACCTGACTAATGACTAGTCAGACAGGCATTCAAACTTTTCAATCATCGGCCAAAATGGCCATCTACTTTTCGCATCCGCTGTGCTTAAAGAACAAAGCAGCACGAATCCCGATTTGTTTTGGGAGTGGTAGTTGGCTCCGGCTGGTCATCATTCGATTGGTTTTGGCATGTATGTTTGACCACCTCACTTTTTACTAGTTGTATTTTGATCCGCTGATCCTGCACCATTTTTGATACATCCCTAGGGGAGTTGAATTCATGTTCCATTTGGGATCTATCCATCACACATTTTACCCGCCGGTTTGTGTGGTATAAACAGAGAACCCTGAAACCGATCGATGCACCTGAAAAGGGATGAACATGCCACCTTCGTGCGTGCTGCTTATGTCTCATTTTTCAGTAGGGCGAACCTTGAAGCGTAACGGAAACCAAGTATTGGACCAAACATTGAGATATTCAGCTGACATTGATTTTTTGCCAGGTATCCAAGATTCTTAACGGTCATATGTGTCATGGTCAAAACGGTGGTAAATTGCCAATGTTAGATGATTCCACAAGTCACACCAATCCATGAAAATTTGGCAATTCCATTCATGATGGTATGGCCAGACACCGTTCATCCTGACTCACCCATATACCCCATTATTTAATCCCCATTAGGTTCCCCATTAATTAACCTTCATCAATCTCCATTGGTCCCCATTAACCTCCATGAATCTCCATGAATCCCATGTAACTTGACCAGTGAGGCCTTGGCAGTGAACTTCGGCACGGTGGTGGCCACCGAGGTCTTCTGGGTTCCTTGGCCGAAGTGTCGCGGCAGCCGGGCCATTTCAGTGGAAAATGGGTGAACATTGGGAAAAAAATCATGGGTTCAGGGACATTTTTGGGCGGTAAATCCTTTCCAGAAACCTGGGAACTGCTTTCAGCGTTTTTATTCCAAGCACTTTCACGGTTTCTTCACTTCCGATGGTCCGCGGTTTCTGCACTTTTGGCACCGGGATGCACCGGGGAAAAAAACACACCAACCCCAGTTTCAAATGAAACAAAATGAAACAAATCAGAAAAGAGGGAAAAACAGTCTTTGTTCCAAAAAAAATAGGGTCTGACTGTCTGACTGCCCAAACCCTGAAATTCGAATCTTCCAGTGGAAACCAACTAACCTTCGGGGGCCTCTAGTGCCGCGCTCCAGGAAATTGACAAACCATGGGGTGAAGTTGACCTGACTTCCACGGATGCTTGCAATCTGATGACTTGCTGTACTCGTTGCGGATTCAATGTGGGTTTGTCCACATTTTCACAGACCTCAACACTCGACACGGGTAGCCTGGGGTAGTGCATCGTTTCCAGTTCTCCAGATCATGTTTATTTAGGAGGCACCTTCACTTTTTTGGACAGAAACCAACTACCAACATTTAGCTCATTCATATATCATTGAACTATTGAACTGCAAACCTGCTCCGAACCTAGCTCAATAGAACACAGCTCGGTGGTTTGTTTCGCAGAGAAGACCCAGGTATGGATGAAAACCCGAGCAGAACCCTGTAGTTCACAGCAAAATAGCTGGTGTTTCAGATTTTTTTTATCCCATAAAACGCCATAAAAAACGTGAGTTTGTCTGAAAATAAGGTACCCCCACATCCAATGAAGTTCATCATTCATTTTTTCCATCGAAAACTGACTGAGTCGTAATGGGATCCCATTGTCAGACACGCACCGTGACCATGGGTTGGCCACCATCACCGCTGGGCCAAGGACTTTTCCAAGCGCCAGTTTGGATTCCACTTGGATCCCCGAAGACTCTTCAAGCACCGTGGCGAGATGTTCGGGCGATGAAGAAACTGAATCACCAGCCACTGGGATAGAATTCAAATATCCAGTTTGTGACCAATATGACTAGGCGAAATGGATAAAATGTCTTGTTGGATAAAATGTGATGAAATGGAGAAATGTCTCCATTTTAGATCCATTTCATCATTAAGTAATCAACAATCTTTGATCTAAAATGTGATGAAATGGAGAAATGGAGCAACGATTCTAGTCCAAATCAGGCCTGGTTTTGAGGGCAAGTTGCAGGGTTTGTCCCAAGAAGTGTGGAGTCCCCTCCTTCCTGCACTGCAGGCGTGATGGCAGCAGCTTCAACAACATTGTGAACTTGTCAGCATGGACGCTGATTAAATATCTTGCAACTGTATGGAAGGGGCCTTTCTTAACGGCAAAATTTGCAAGTCTGAGAATTGCAGTGGGATGGACTTGTTGGACTCTAGCAATTTCCAATGTGCTTCGAGGGGGATGTTTTATGGTTCTTGCCCTACTGACTTGTTGTAGAGCGTGTGTGAATGGATACCTATTTTACGGTTAGAACAGTCCTAAAGTCCTAAGTCCCAGATTTCGGTGGAAGAGGTACAGCCCTGTGAAACTTCACTGTTCGGCCAAGGTGAAACTTCACATGGATGCCAAGCTGCCCTTTGGCCTGAGCGTTTTGGTGGAGCAAAACATCTCTGCGACCTGATCGAAGCTATCCAGTGGATCCACCCATAGATTGGGCTACCTACTATCAGTAGATACCTACTATGCCCTGATGTGTTGGTGGTCATGTATCAGATATGTCAGATATGAATTTGGGATAGTTTGGTTGCATCAGCAATATCACGTTTACATACTTCGTTTACATTACTTTGCACGGTAGAACGGTAAAACCATATGGTTTCGAATGTTTTTTTTGCCAATGGTTTTTCCATTTCCTAAATTTTCCGTTGATTCGATGGGCCCTTTGCTAGGCTGCGGTCATTGATGCGCAGCACGACTTCTTCAGCGTGGTCGGCGAGACCATGTCGGTGCTTCGGCACATCGCCTGCTGTGTGGAGACCATCGTCTATCACGACTACTGCCAGCTGGAGGAAGGGAGGGGGTGCAACGGTGAAACCCTGGGAATTCTCATGGGATTATATGGGATTATCATGTTAAAATATATCAAAATGCAAACTGGCTGATGATTCTTCATTGGACAGGCATTTAACCATGACAAATAGGAGTTTGATGTGATTATAACTGCTTCTTGTTCTATGAATGCATAAAACATCGAGATTATTCCATGGGGGTATGGACCATGGGAAGTAAGCATCAACTGGTAAAGTACAGGGATAGGCTGATTAATTCCTGTTGGAGGAACGCCTGACATGTTGAAATCTCCATGGATGAGAAATCTCTTGGATCCTGATCGAGTTGATCGCCAGTCCGACCGAAGCTCCGACCAAGGCAACTACAATGTCTATGGTGCCATCCAATTCTTCGTGGATGCTGGTGCTTGGCAGTGCTTGGCAGTGCTTGGCAGTGCTTGATGATCTTGATGGCAGTTGTGACATGTTAGTGACATGTTATGACCTGCGATGTCGAAGAGTTGCACTTTTTTCACAGTGAAGAGTTCCAGGGTTGCTCCAACTTGTAGGTGTAGCTGCTGTACAGGGGGGAAATAGGTCATTCTACTATATTCTACCTCCTTAGTCCTTAGATGCCTTTAGTTACTTCTAGTTTGCCTATTTCCCCCCTATGAAAAGCGGTCTCGCGGTGTCAGGCCTGTTAGCCATCCGAAAACACATGGGCTTGTCCACGTTTAAGGACGGGACCTGACACCGTTGGAAGGTCTACTCCGATCCTCAGTGGTCTTCCCAGTTGGGGTGTTGGTATAACCATGCTTACAACATACCCCACTTCTGAGTTCTTAACCACCTACTGTTGCTTGTTGGATGCCAACTGAATCCAAATTGTGTATGATAAACTATCAATTTTCCATGGTAAATACCTAATGTTTCATGGCAACACCTATTTTTGATGGTCAAAGTTTCCAATTTTGGACCGGAACATGTTTTTTTTTTTGGATGGTGAAAATGGATTTTTTGACAGTGGATTTCCCGGTGCTTTTCCAGGACCTGAAGTGCGTGGGCAGCTCTCTGCCCGAAGGCGTCGCCATGCGGGTCTTGCGACACAGCGCCGGCGCCCTGGCCTACCTGGCCGCCACCGATGGGAGGGCGCTGTCCAGCCATGGGTGCGTGTCAAGAGTGTGGGAACAGCCTCAAAATAGCAATTTTGATGTGCAAAAAAGGCGAAAATATGGGAAAATGATGATAGAGTATGGACATTATGGACTTGAAGGGTATGGTATGCTAAACACGATGGTTGCAATGGGATGATCAGTGGGAAAATATGTTTTTTTTTAGTAATTAGGGATCAACAATGGGGATTCAAATATTGGATTCTTGGATTTTTGAAATGGGTTGATGACCCAAAAAACCGGGCAAACTTTCTTATAGACACGTATGTGTACATCTACCGTTTGGTACTGCCGAACTTTTGAAGTTTAGCGACTCAGCTGGGCTAAACGCAAAGAGCTTCGGACACAACAAATGCGATTCTGCGTGTTCGAAATTTCGTTGAAACTCGACATCTTAATTCTTAAGACTTCTTAAGTGATAATGACTTTGAATTATGCGACAGGCGGGCCAACTAAGCAGTTCATGATAACAGCCCTGTTGTTCATCCGGGTTTGCACAGGAACTCAACCAGAGAGATTAGCTTTGTATGCGAACCAGATGTCTCTCAAGAGACTCAAGACTGTATATCTGTGAAGTCGATTTTGCATCCAAAGGCATCCATTTTGGCTGGGAACCCTGCAACCGTAGTGCTCCTCACGGTCTCAGCGGTGCCCCAACAGGCTTTTGGTCGCGACTAGAGACCTTGTATCTGGGCACGAAGATCTTTGTGATTGATTTGGGCCGGAATATGATGACTAAAAAAGGTGGATTTGGGGATAGGCTGTACGAAATTTCTGGCCAAATTTCATTGATTCTGAAATGTGGCATTCCATTCCATCGAACACAGTGGTAAGTCCCCACCTGGGCTAATTCCCCAGAAGGCATTTGGTGCATTTGGTTGCGAGGTAGACAATTCCTATCAATTCCTGCTGGTCCAATCCAGCTTGGCAAGTGATGCTGGTCCAAAGTCCCTAGTTCCGATTTCTGGATCACCGCGGCCAAGGTATGGGCAATATGTGTCGAATCCGCTGTATCCCGATCCGCACCTTGGCTCCGCATTTCTGGCTCCACCGTGCGCTGGTTTTTGTTTTCAACCTCCTGGGCAACCAGCGTACGCTCCATTCTGGCCACAGCCATGGGGATCCCATCTTGCGTCACCTCCCAAGGAAAGCCCGGGAGCGTTCGATTTCGGCTCAGCTGCTCAATGCCACGCGCTGGCTGCTGATTGATGGGCAGTGACTGGGCCAAGGGTTCCAAAGGTTCTATGCCTGAGGATCCAGAGGTTAATAACGCTAATAACCTATGTCTCCAGACTTTGGGGTCACCTTGACCCATACTCGTTTGGGGACCAAGGAGTGGAAGTAGTGGGAATCGAGAAACATGGGCTGATAACTAGATTTCAGCTGGTTGCTGGTTCCAATCTTGATTTTCAACCATTTGGGATGTCATATTTTTGGGGTGGCTCAACCAGCGGCCTGACAACCCCAGCAGGAAACTGGGGCTTCGTCCGCAGCAGCCCCGGGCCATTCTGACGATGGGCTTTGCACCTGCCAGTAGTGTCTAGGCTTCCAAGGTGGGAGTCTGGTGCTGTTGCCCTGGGACGGTTTCCCCCAAAAAATGGGATGATGGATTCAATTGACTTTTTGTTTGGGGTTGAACTTAAAGAGGCTATGGCCTTGGATCGACTGCACCACCTGCCCAGTTGTCACACTGATAAGAACAGATACTTCACCTGTTTCCCAGATACCGCCTATGGCTGCACGGCAAGCTGCTGATTTTCCGCTTGGACTTGATTGTAAAAGGCGGCTACGGCAACCGCAGAATTGGAAAATGCAACATGAATATGGGAGTGTTACACTTCTTGATTTGTGCGTGTCTGCACTCCCCTTTTGTAGGGACCGCAAGCTTCTACAACTTCTGAGACTCAAGCCGCTATGTCAAATTTGGCCGGCACTGAGCACACATTTGAAATTCCCTTGAGTTTCTTGGAAAAGGGCATCTGGTATCGGTGTGTGCAGGAGTGCCCCAGCCATTCAAATGAATAATTACTCCAGGTGGTGGCTGCTTCGGGCTTTCATGCAAACATATCGGCAAAGATGACACCAGCGAGATTCACATGCCGTTCCAGTTTGGGGTGAAGTGAGATAGCCGCAGCTTGGGGCACCATGATAAACTGACCCATACCTTGTAGTCAGGACTTGAGAAGAGAGCTGCACCTGGTCAAAAGTGTTATACTCATTCGCAAAACATGATGGATCGGCTCTGATCCGGGCACGCTGAACTCCTAGTGGATCTTCACTCGAACTTGTGCTTTCTGGAGCAGCAGAACTTCAACAGGGTGACTTCGGCCATCCTCTCCTTGCGTTGGCAAAACGGGAACACGACTTACTCCAACGGCTCACCCCTCCCACATCCATTGGAAAAACCAAGGTCATTACGAATATTACGCCCACCAACAAGCTGACAACCACCATGAAGAGATTGAACTCCTCAAAACTTTCTTCTTCTTTTTCTCCTTCTTTCTTTTTACCTTCTCCTTCTGATTGAACCCATTCCACCTGTCACAAGGCAAATTCCCGGTGTGAAGTAGGGTCACTCCAACAAGCCAGGGAAACTATCCATAGCCATCGTTTTTCCTTTATACCTGACTCATGTTGGTGAAATGGTGGAATCATCGAACTACCTGGTGGATTTCCCAGCTTCCACGGAGGTGTGCTGGAGGAGATCCCTGGCAACCCGCTGAAGGATGCTTCCTGGGGGAACGCCTCGGAGGAACCCCTGCTGCGGCGGACCGAGCGCCTGGGGTCGGTGGATGTCTTCCAGAGCGAGATGCGCAGCGCGCGGAAACTGCCGCTGCTGAAAATTCCCATCCTCGAGAACGAGAAGGTGCTTGGATGACCAGGGATCAATACAGGTATGGTGTTTGGATATTCTTATGGGATTAGGGTCGGGTTGGTGTTGAGAACGCCTCTTCTCGGGCTTTTGTTTCTAGATATTTTTAGGGGGATAAACCGATAAGCCATGAGAAATGAGAATGCTTGGTTATTTTGGTTGATGGACAAGTACGGATGTCACTGGAAATGAGGGCTTAGATATGGGTAACCACCGCAAAATGATTTCAAGTTCCAGTTCTCTATCATCAGAAATGTCCGGGTGAAGGAAGGTGAAAATTGGTGTCGGGAGGCCGTCGATATCTTTGGTTGATTGGTGAGATTGAGATGATTGAGGAAAAAACCTCTGGTTGGCCCAAAAATACCACGTTCATCCAAGTTCAATAGGATAGAAAACTCAGACCCCAGGTGGTTGGCAAAGTGTGGCTGGAAATTGATCGAGAGATGAACCTGCTGACCATGGAGTTTGAAGACGGAAGGGAGTCCTGGCAGCAATGGCTGGGTTTCGGAAGGCTGCCAGGCCACCCTGGTTGAAGCATGTTGAAGCCCCCAATAGGAATTTTCCCCACAGTAGATGACTTTCAAGGGAACTGACTTTTTGATGCAAAAGGTAGCCGTGGGGTTGGCAGTTTCAAGTACAATTTTGATATGTATTGACTGTATTGATTACTTTTCTGAGGAGGATTGCACCGCCTATGTTCATCATTGTTCATCTATTCCGAGTATTTTTAGGTTGCATTAAAATTGTAGCAGCAACTATCACCAATTGAACTTTAAAACCAATGTTTTGAGGGACCAAACTCATGGACTTCAGTTGCTGTAACCCTTATGTACAGACATCCGCGGCTTCTAGACTATCAGAAACTTATCTCCATTGCACAGCTACTATCACCCAAAGAAGTTTACTTATAAATTAAAAGATAATCAAAGCATATTACATGTCGTTTCGATAAACAATGATGTTCATATATTAGTAGGTACAGTATTTTTTACTGTGAAAACAATGATTGTCATGAAGGACCGCTTGATCAATCTTATTCAATCAGTATTCATGATAATCATTGTTTATTGAAAAAGCCTGTACCAACTAAAAAACAACGCAGCACGTGCGCTACGCCCCAAAGGTACTTCACTATATACACTTTCATATAGGGTTTATTGAGTGCTTCTTTAGGGTTCATGTAAGGTTTCTTTAAAGGGTTTCTTTCGGGTTAATTTAGCAATCTTAGGGAGTTTCTATGTTTTTTTTTTTGAAAGTTTATGTAACGAAAACCAGTTTTGGGGACAGCAGATTCACCGCAGAGGGTCATTAACGACGTCTCTGAGTTCGCAAACCCAGAGCCATCTAGTCATTAGATTCTCAAATACTTGAAAGCCACAAAGTACTGTAAGGGTCAACAAAAATAAGGGTTCCAACAATAATCCCGAAAGACCTTGGGGCATAGCGCAAGTGCTGGCCGTCACTAAATTAATCATAGCCAGTCCTTCACGATAAACATAGTAAAACATGATAAACATAGTAAACCAGTATAATCTTCTGAATACTTATAGACAAGTAATATCATCATCAATGATAATACATCATGACATAGTAAGCATAAGCAACCATACGCAGATTAGTAATCGGTTAATATTAAATCATGATAAACATAGAAAAACCATGTAGAACCATTAAATCATGGTACAAAGATAGTAATATGATAATCATGAACGGCTTCTGACTCGAAGCGAGCTGCTAGCCCGAGGCCTTAATGGGTTTCAGTTTCCACTGGTCTACGCAGCTGCTACGCCTCATTGTGACTGCGACAGAAATGGGGTGTCCCCAAGACCGTCTCAATACTAAGTCATGGTCATCCATGACGACTGGATGAGAACTGGGGGTGCCCCCATGACTTGGGACTAATCTCATATAACCTCATACATGTATATGTATATAGGGCGAAGGCTGGGGGTTCCCCGGAAGCCAATTGCATTTTATTTGTATGGATATGGAAAATGTTGATTTTACACTGTGTTTTACAGTGTTTTATGCTTTTCTCTGAAAGTGTTCGATCAGCCAAAGTTTCAATGTCGGCGCGGATAAACTTGACGTTTGTCCGCGCAGAAAAATGATAAATTTACATCTTCCATGGATGGCAAAAAATGTGTGCAACATTCTAACCATTGGAATTGCGGTTTCATGCATTTTTGGTCGTTTTGTTGATAACTAGAAAATGTCATAAATCACTGGAGAACCATGGACTAAATGAACATCACACCTTTTTCATCTTCACGTCCACAAAGGCTTTTTGAAGCAGTTGCTTGGAGCGAGAGCAACAACGATACTTACAACGTAACAACATCGTCAACGAAGCAACATCCTCAAGGTTTCCACAACTCTGAATCCAACGCGCTCCACATGACGTTATTACACCCCCCCGCCCCCCCCCACCCCCCTTCTGTAAACAACAACGATACTTGCAACGTAACAACATCTTCAACGAAGCAACATCCTCAAGGTTTCCACAACTCTCAATGCAACGCGCTCCACATGACGTTATTACACCCCCCCACCCCCCATCTCTAGGCTCAAAACTGAGGGTTCCTGAAAGCTCCGGGGAACCCCCAGCCTTGAGCCTATATAGATATTATATATATATACACGCATATATATATATATATATCTATATATAGTTCTTAATGTGAAACCGTCCAATTTGAACCCATTATCCATAGTGAGCAACTTGCTTACAAGCTGGTCAACAAAACCAACTCTGGAAACGTCCCTCATTGGACAAATTTGTCCATTGAACGTGATGATGTCTTGTTGCCATGTCAAATTACCGTTGGCGCGACAGTGGGTGTAAGCAAAGTGGGCATGTGATGAACCAAGACTGGGCAACTGTACCATCAAGCCCAGGGAACGAAGACATATTGGGATCATTGGGACGTCTGGGGAACACAACTAGTATTTAAAACATCGATAAACCAAGATAAACATAGTAAATCCATGTAAATCCCCAATTTCATGGGTAAACCGCGGTAAACCCCAAGTTTTCTAACTTTTCATATGGGTGAACTCTTAATTTTCCAAGTTTTCCACAGAGATTTCCCGATTTCCCATCCTCGGCGCCAAGGATAATTTCCTCCACCTGGATGCTGCGTTGAGCCGCCACACGGGCGTGTGGATACCACCGGGCTCCAATGCCGTGGCCATGCGCCCGAAAAAGCGCTGCCGGGCGGTAGATGGAGTTGGTAAACCTGGAGATACTGTAGTAGTTCTATAGTATATATACAAACACTGTAAGTGAATGTAATTGATATATATATATAGATAGATATAGATATAGATAGAAAATGATAGAAAGATAGATAGATAGAAAGATGGATAGATAGATAGATAGATAGATAGACAGATGGATGGATGGATTGGATTAGATTAGATCAGATTAGATTAGGTTAGGTTAGGTTAGTTAGATTAGATTAGATTAGATTAGATTACACATATTTATATATATATACATACACATATATATATATACGGATATATGGACACAGAATTGGAGAACTTGGATAGTTTGATGTAGATGGACAATAAAAACGAGGTGTTTTTGATGATTTGAAGTCCGAGGCTGCCACACTGCAGCGGGGAGGATTATGTCAAAGCTTTCTGGCGCGGGGCCTTGGTGTGGTTGCGGGTTGGACGTTTGTGGGCGCCCCGGCTATTCAATCTATTCGTTGGTTCTCTCAGGTTTGATCTACATCATTTAAGATGCACTGTGGCCACATGTCATTTTGTTATATGAAGTCACAACGAGTCACAACGTTTCAAAAACAACTTGAGCTTGGGTTCATCCGTAGACAAAGATAGCTGGGGCGCGTGCTGAAGTTCAGTGAATCCGACGTGCATCCAAATTCGGGAGCTTTGGCACAAGGAGCCTGAGAGGTTGTAAAAGAGTCGACTCAGGCCAACCAAATCCCATTATAACTTATAAATACTTATAACCTGTAACTTGTAACATCTTATAACATGTTATATCATCTTATAACATATTATAACATCTTATAACATCTTATAACTATGCCCATTTATTTAACAACTGGTTGCACCATCCACCAAGGTGGGAGGGTGTTGCATTCTCCAGCAGTGAGATCTGGCTCCCGGAGATCCTTGGAAAGCTGGAGGACCTGTGCTCCGCGCCGGAACTGCGGAAGGGTTGCGTATTTTTGAAATGCCATGTCGGTGGACTTTCAATATGTAGATGTATATGTGATCCATCATCATCATCATCATCATCATCACCATCACCATCATCATCACCATCATCATCCTCATCACCATCATCATCCTCATCACCATCACCATCACCATCACCATCATATCATCATCCCTTATGAAGATCAGTCGATGCTACTATCAGATTCAGTATATTTGCTACACGGGGGTTGAGGATTTGTTGATCCCTTATGAAGATATGTTGATGCGATGATCAGATTCAGCATATTTGTCAAAGGGGGTGGTGGATTTGTCGATCCCTTAAAAAGATAAGTTGACGTGATTACCCCATTTAACATATTTGTCGGAGGGAGTGGTGGTTTTTTGGCCCCTTATGAAGATAAGTTGTTGTTATTCCTTATTCAACATAGTTGTCAGAGGGGGTGGCGGATGTTGATCTCTTATGAAGATAAGTGGGTGTGATTATCCCATTCAACATATTTGTTATAGGGGTGGTGGATTTGTCGATCCCTTATGAAGACGAGTTGATGTGATTACACCATTCAACATATTTGTGCCAACGGACTCGTTACCGTCGCACAAATCCACACATCCGCATCCGATAGTCTGGGGTGGGGTGGGGTGGGGTGGGGTGGGATAATAACGTCATTGGCATTTCCACATGATCTTGATGCTACGCTCTATGATCTTCATTGGCATTTCCACATGATCTTGATGCTACGCTCTATGATCTTCATGGCATTTCCACATGCATGCTACGCTCTATGATCTTCAATTGCATTCCACATGATCTTGATGCTACGCTCTATGATCTTCATTGGCATTTCCACATGATCTTGATGCTACGCTCTATGATCTTCATTGGCATTTCCACATGATCTTGATGCTACGCTCTATGATCTTCATTGGCATTTCCACATGATCTTGATGCTACGCTCCATGATCTTCAATGGCAATTCCACATGATCCTGATGCTACGCTCCATGATCTTCAATGGCAATTCCACACATCCGCATCCGATAGTCTGAGGTGGGGTGGGGTGGGGTGGGGTGGGGTGGGATGATAACGTCATTGGCATTTCCACATGATTTTGATGCTACGCTCTATGATCTTCATTGGCATTTCTTCAATGGCAATCCTCAAATATGGAAATGCATGCGCTCTTTCCAGTGGCGGTGGGAGTGCACAGGGAAAAACCTGATGGAAGCCACCGCTGGCACGTTGAAGAAAATGTGAGAAAAAGTTGCGGTTGCCCTTTTTCAGGCTGAAGTCATGGAAGGGTTGTTATTCACAAAGTAGATGGACCTTTTTTTTGGAGAAGTTTTGACTGAAAAAATCGCTCCTCGCTGTGACGAAATAGTCATTTTCATCATTTTCGTACGCCGGTAACGCTTCCGCCGGGATATTTGTCATAGTGGGCGGCGGATTTATGATTCCTTCATGAATATAAGACATATAAGTTGATGGTATTACCCCATTCCACATGAGTTGACACTGGTGATGATGATGATGGTGATGATGATGATGATGATGACGATGACTGTAAGTGTGGAGCAACGTCCGGGTTGGACTGAACATGTGTTATATATGTTGTGGGGCCATACGATTTGATTTGCTGGTGTTGGACGGAGATGATTAATTCTATTTATGGGTGTGTCTGAACATTGGGCATACCCCCTGATGTGGATCTTGTTTCTTTCCCCCTAACATTTTCAGGTTCCAACCCAGATTGAGCCGTGTTCCAAACCCTTATTGGTTGATGACTAAAGGTGACTTTACTACCCTTTATAGGTTGACATAAAGTTGACATATGTATATATATATATATCATCTACAGTATATATTTATATAGATGATCATAATCCAACCCATGAATTGGGAATCCTCATTAGTCACTGGCGTCTCTTATTAAAGTTCTTGCTAGAACATTCCTAACTGTTCGAATTTTTCCAGGAAATCCCCAGGACAGCAGCCGGGTGGCCGCCACGCTGCGGCCGGCGCCCTACTACATGATGACGGAGGAGAAGTGCGAGGTGTCGCCGGATGCCTGGCGTATCGGTCGCCGTTTTTGGGGGTTGTTAAACCCAGAACCAGCCTGGGGAAACCCACCAGCCTGGAGTCCTGGAGAAAGTTTTTCGGAAAAGTCTGTGTGTTTGTTTTGATGGTTTTGGATGGTTTTGGCCCAAAGGGGGCCCTGGTATTTGAAAGTATGGTCATCGTCATGGTCATCGTCCTCCGAATCCGGCGAGCCAAGGACATCCCGCTGCTGCACGACCCCAGCCGCTGCCTGGAAGAGGGCGCCTGGGATATCATCACCATGATCAGCGACCTGGAAAATGCTGCCTGGCTGGCGAAAATCAGCGGTGAGGGCTACCCATTGATGGCACCTGGTAACCGAACATGGCAGACTGGAACAACACCAGTTTTGAAGGGTAAAATCAGGCGTGAAGCAAATGAACATGTAGGATTTTAGCACCCGTGTTTGAGTATCAATCAAAAGGGTCGTTTTGCTTTGACCCCAAGCCCCAGAATGTTGATCCATGGCAGGGTAGGAGGCAAAGATCACTCGGTTTCGATGACCCGATTTGAGAACTGGATGGCTGATTGATGATATACAAGTTCCATGTTCAGCCATACGTGGGAAACATAAGTAGCATAAGTATCTAAGCAAGCTGACAAGGTTTGAGAATAGGTTCACTCCTGATGGTCATTCACCGCCCTTCCTTTGACAAAGGTGACTTCTATCGGTTCCATCCAGGGGCGCATTATGGAAAGCCCTGGCAACGACACGTTTCGAAACTGGGACCGGTTATATGAAGGTCTTTTTGGGTGGGGAAGCCGATGGGGATGTAGCTGTAGGGCAATGCTTTAATCATCACCAGACATCCCGTTTATCTTTCAAGAGACATCAGGCAGAGTTGATCTTCGGAGGTTGGGTCTTGCGGTCGTGCACCTGACCCGATTTCATCATAAATTATTAAATAAGGCGAAGGCCAAGATGCCTCTCAGTACTAAAGGAACCCAAGTGGAAGTGTTTCACGATTCAATCAACTTTTCAGCTGCATGATGCTGCACATGCTTTTCAAGCCATCTTTTTCCTTGCTTTCGTCATATCATCTCCAGGAAATATGATTTCATCCCTTGGCCCTGCACAGCTCATCTCAGCTAGAGGCTTAGAGTTTGACAAGGAGGGAAAGGTCACCAGCAAGAAGTATGGCAAGGCCTGGTGCTGCACTGACCTACCAGGGGATGGGAGTTCGGATGTTTTCGGGGTGGAAGTTCAGCCTTAATTTGAGACAGACCTTTCAGGATGGGACAAGACATGTGGCAAATTCAAGTACCGTTCAGGAGGATAGCTGGTTTCTGAGACTTCAGACCCACTTGAGGTGAGTGTGCAGAAGGGCATTTTCAAACTGGACTTTTAGATATGTTTGGATATTGTTGTAGCTAAGAAGCTTCAAGGTGTCATGGCTCCTAACCAAACTTCCACAGACCCTCTATGTACATTTCTGAATGCGGCGGGTGGCCAGGTCATTTTGAGCCCGAAGCAGGTGCCGCTGTGGGACGTCTCCATGTGCGAAAGAGGGCACCGGAGCACGGGCAGGTTTCTCAACCATTGGACCATGGGCCATGGGTCTTCCCCTTGGGTTTCGACCCCGGCATACCCCGGCGTAGCAAGCAGTGAGTCAAGCTTGTTTTTAACCCATTTTAACCCATTTTAACCCATTCTTACCATCGCCAGGGTGGCGGCATCACGGTAACACCTAAGACTTCAGATGTGGTGGTGGTCTCTCCCCAAGCCGGCAATTGCTTCGACATGGCCGTGACTCGGCGCGGTGATTGCGCCACGTTGTTTCAGTCATTGGCCATGCATCCCACAGCCACAGTTGCCATGCCACCAAGGACATGATTCCTCCAGTGCGGGGGAATGCCTATGTCTTGGTGGTGCCGCTACTCGGATGAATATTTTGATGCCAGATTTTCTGGCTCATGGTGTCAAGAATATCATCGAAGCATCTCTGTGTGGACGGGTAAGAATTGGGAACCTCTCCATGCTGAGAACATCTCGAGTTCCAAGGTTGAAACCTACCACAATACAATAGACAACTTGGAAAAACAGAAGGCCTGTTACCCTCTGGTAAACGTTTACATAGCGAACTGGACAATCAGCATTTTCAGTGGGTAAATCCACTATTTCTATGGCCATTTTCAATAGCTATGTTAGTCATTACCAGAGGGTAAACTTTGGAACAATGATTTCCAAAGGTCAGCACTTCAGGGAAGCATCTGCCCCTTCGGACACCAGGATCAATCCGCTATATGCGCCGCCCACGCGGGTGATCCCAAACTACGAGATGCTGGGCTGCTTCAGTGTGGTGTTTGTGCCCCCCTGGAAACAGATAGAAACAGTACACTTACATACACTTGCTTGATCTGGCTTGTATTTGGATGTATTTGGTGTAGAACTCTATAAATGTACAACCTCCCCACTGATGGCCTACCTGCACTCCGAATGACTTTCATGTTGTTCGAACTCTAAGATTTAGATCACCTCCTGCGGTTCCGAAGGTCTCACTGACCTCGTGGATCTCACCGAGGAAGATCCGCTTCGAGCTTCACTTCGTAGCTGAAGAGATGACCGACAAACACAAGCTGCAACGCCACTGGGCGAACCAGGGGCTCCGGCGAACTCAGCACTTAATCACCCTCGATTCCTGGGATGAGCCACCAAAACCACTATCATCTTAACATATGTTAACATTAACAATCATGAACATATACATTACCGAATTCGAAATCAGATATTCCATGATATTCCCATTATTTCGGCATTGATCTCCCCAGATTTTTTTGGCGAAAGCTCCGAGGCTTGCTGTTCTTGACGCATTGCTCCCTGCAGAGCACCGTGGATCTCCTCAGCGATCGCTACGTCCTTCTCTTCGTGCACGGCGCAAGGGCCATCTTCGTGGAGAAGTCCATAGCGACTGGGCAACGGGACCAACGGGACCAACGGGGAGGTTTTTCAAAGTGTTAATGTGGGATATCTTAATGGACAAAATGGGATAATCATGGATAATATGTATCATTTATGTATGTATGTATGTATGTATGTATGTATATATATATATGTATCATATAGATACCTGGGGAGGTTTACCATCAGGAAATGGAGATTCAACCAACCATGTCTGACCAAGAATAAATGGGAAATCATTGGAATGTACGTGGCCATCTGGTCTTGATAGAGGGTTTGGGGCAACAATTGCACTGGGGGCGTGAACTCAACCATGTTTCATGGGGATATTAAATGCTAGAACTTTGACTTGGTCAGCGTTTTTTTTGCGACCGTTTTGGTTTAGGCTTTGATTCCCAAAAGCTCCTGCGAAAGTTGGTTTTTCCAAAGTACTGCTCCCAAGTTCAACTGTTCACTTCATCTACACAACATCTGCTACATCCTTTACATCACCTACATAATCTACATCAACTTCATCTACATTCTAGATCACATACATCATCTACATCTCCTGCATATCTAGTATATCCTTTACATCACCTACATCATCCACATCAACTTCATCTACATGTCAAACATCATCTACATCAACTTCCATCATCAACTTCGATCCGCCACCAAGGCCCATCGCTTCTGCGATCCCTTGGACCTCAATGGGGCCTGCAGCTCCATTGAAGAGATCTGGCGTCGGGGTGCTGGATGCGTGTGACTTGCTGGGAAGGTTTGTTGGTTGAGGATGGTTGAGGATGGTTGAGGATGGTTGGGCATGGTTGAGGTTGGTTATGTCGATTTTGGTTGCCCCCTGTTTGAAGAGCTGTAGGACTTCCAAGTTTGGTAGTTTGGTCTAAATGGGACGTGGGGCACAGGTTCTCGGTTCACGTGTCCCAGGGATGATGTCCAGATCACCCCAACATGGTGTGGATGGTCATGGGCCTATGGGCTCAAGGTCCAGCACGCTGCACCTGATGAAGTCCGGAGTGAACATCCTGGAGGAGGCTGAGTGATAGCGACAGCACTTCAGAGAGTAATGCATGAGTCATCCCCGCACAGGCCGAGTCGCTGGGAGATGCGGAGTGGCCCTGCAGCGACTACATGGCCCGGCAGATGGGGAGATGGTTGGGGAATTGCTGGGGGTTGACCATGGTTTACCCTCAAAAATCATGGGATTTCATGGGATTTCAATGGGATAACATGGGACATATGATGGCTTACCCTCCAGTAAAGGAACACGACCATGAGGAAACCTGCTCGGAAAAATGATCCATACCCCAATTTCCCTTTCAATGGCCCAATGGCCCTGCTTATTATCGTTTGGTCCAACACGAAACCAAGGGTTCTGGGGGATGTTTCATATTGGAAGCAAGTGGATTGGCAGCCGGTCAGGTGGGATTGACCCAGAATTTGGTTGAATTGCAACCATCCCCCCTTGGAGGTTTACTGTTGGGTTCGTCATGGTTTACCAGTCTGCAACATATTAGGATATATTAGGTAGTTACAACAATATTGTAAGTGATACAAACATGCAAGATTGACCATCTACAAGGCGGATACCAGCCGACCAACATTCGGAGGTAAACCAGAAAGGAGGATTGGTTGATGGTTAGGTCTGTGATGCTGCTGATTTGATGCTTATTAGATGGGCATGACGCCAAGCTTTGGGCACCCCACGAATCCACCTGCTCGAAAGTTTTGGTGCTCCGAAGTTGCAGATTTCAGATTTATAGTTCAAAAAACCCTTTAGAAATGTTCAGAAATCCAACAGTACCACCATCCAAAGCTATCAGACGATAAGCCGCTTCTGGGCCGAGTCCTTGGACTTGCCGCAGATGCCAGCGGATCAGTTGGTCAAGAAGCTCCCGCCCGAAAAGAGGCACAGCTCGCTGTGCGCGACAGCAATCTCTGTGGAAGTTGGGAATGCCAAAGATTTACCCTCTGGTAAACTAACATAGCTATTGAAAATGGCCATTAATAGTGGATTTTCCCATGAAAAATGGTGATTTTCCATAGTTATGTTAAATTACCAGAGGGTATCTTTCGTTTTTTTGGATCATGTTGTTTCTTTGGGGGGGCTGGTGGGGGTCAACCTGTTGAGCGTCAAGCAAATCGTGTCTGGGGGGACACAGCGGCCAGGCACCTCTACGAGAAGCCGACCTGTCAAAGCCCCCGGGCCATGCAACATAAGGTCCCCGATCCTGCCAACTGGCCACACATCCCAGGGCGTCACATGGCTGCAGGGGAAAGGTAAAAACTACTTGAAGAATCTTGACTGACATGGAACCACCAAAAATGGGCTGGAATGATTGTTCAACACTCAAATAATTTGGCAAGTTTATGCAATTTTGGAGTTCCATCTGTTGACCTGCTGAAAGACGATAAACCGGCAGGATTTGAACCAAATTTCTACCAAACCATGGCCAGTTCGAACAGAGTGGCCTTGTTGGGAAACGATTTCCAACATGCCAGACATTTGAGGTGCACTTTTTGTGGGTTTGTGCCTCTCTAAGCTTTTGGAATCTGGACTTCCCACCTGTATATTGCTGAGAATTAAAGAGATTCATTCAAAATCCAAAGTGTAAATTAAATTTGGTTGTTGAATCAAAATCCATTAATTAATATTATGTTTCAAAATCCATTCACATGTAATGAATCAGCTTTGGATTTCAACCGCTATTCATCGGCCATGCTGAGGTCAACATGCCATCGACAATCGCGGTCACTGTTTGCTGGAACAAGGCTTCTGTGTGCCTAGGATTGCAATCCCGGGTACCTTTCGATGTATCAAAGAATTCAAAACTTGGAAGGTCAAAAAGTGTAGTGAACTTGGATTTGGAAGGTGCTTCTGCTTGTTGGATTCTTGTTGGATTCTTGGCCGCGATTCTTGGTCGTTTTTCCTTTTCCAGTGCCACTCACACCTCCACTCAGGAGTGCTTTCCTCCCTGGCGGGGAGCCATTTGCAACCGGCCGGAACTAGGCGCCGCGTTTGGGACGAGGTTGTGCTGCCCCGGCCCGCCGGGGGGCGTGCTTCAAGTGGCATGAGTGTCTCTCAAATTGTTCCAGAGCAAATTCTGTTGGAAAACCTCCTGAAACTTGATGATTGAAGCCAAATTCCCAATCTATTCCATGGATTTTCATGGGAGATCATGGGAAAACAGGTTTCCTTCACATCCTCCCCCAAAAATGATCACCACATCGGCAGTACATCGCCCCAAGGCCTCCGCGACGCGAACGACCTGGCGGAAGGCATTGACGGTGGCACAGTGATCGTGACGATGGCCTCCCAGCATCGGCTGCACGAGCTGCACTTCGTGCTGTCGAAGCTTGGGATGTCGCCGAGACTCACGTCGCGATGGTTCACCAACAAAGATCTCACCAGACATGGTGATTTTGGATGGTTTAAATTGGTTTAACAAATGGTTTAATGTAATTTAAACCATTTTAAAACTGTGATTTTTAAACATGATCAGAATGGTTTTTCATGGCGATTTTTCAGAGGATTTTCTGGACTTCACCAACATTTGGTGCCAGCTATGCCATCCCATGGTCAAAATGCTTTTTTGGCCAACGATGGGATGATATCCAGTCCCTTTGAAACAGGGTGATTGGTAGGCCTGGTAGGAAATGAGTTACCATGAAAATGGTTTCCCAGCAACTGGCCTATGATCATAATCTATGCCATGCAATTCTATGCAACTCTAAAGTGATCTATGGCTAGCAACTGGTCAGTAACTGGTCATTCATTCAAACATCAGCAGGTCGGGGGTTGGGACCAGCAGTTGGGAAGTGTATTTTTGCATATTTTTGCATCATCTGTGAAGAGCAGGGTCTCCACCACAGACAGTGGATCAGCAGACCAAGGAACTGGTGGGAGAAGTTCAATTCTCGCTTTGATCATCCAGTTCTGATCTTTCACCAAGGTCTATCTCCGCGACAGGTGTGCGGTGACATATCTGGGAGGGCTGAAGCGAAGTTGTACAAAGAGGGCTTGAAGTGGATTATTAGCAGAAGGAAAACACGATGTTTGCAGTTTACTAAGCTACTGTCACTCTTGGTCAAGATCCCATGTTTGTTGGTCGTATCTCCATGCCTCATCACCATCCAAATCGCTGGATGATTCCTGCCACCGGTGGCCACATCGGTGGCCGCAAAAAAGGTCGCCGAGATCCGTCGCTCCTCGGAGAATCGCGTGTGGTTCGCGGACGTGGATCGCTACTTCCAGCCGCCTGGTGATCCAATGCATCGATGAAAACATCGGAGAGTTCCAGCTATAGCTAGGGATAAAGTAGTGATTATAGCCAGCTAATATGACCATTTTATGACCATTATTAATGACCATTATTAATGACCATTATCTTATATCATAGAATTTATGAACCATGATAACATCCATGAATCCATGAAGATCTCAAATGATCTCCAAAAATGATGCATGACTGATTCTTGTGTGATTTTTTGGACCCGGGTAGCCGCCACCAGAGCCTGGTTTAAGGAAGCCTGGGAGACTACCGACAGGGCCTGGCAGATTGATCCAGGCCACGGTCTCTGAGAGCTATCGTCTGATGTGCAGCTCGATGGGGTGGATGGGGTTGGGGCCGTTGGGGGTAGGAGAAAGACACAGAGGTTTCACCTTCCGGTGTCATGAAAATGGTGGGTCAATGGATGTAAATGGTGGTATACAGAAGTGTAAATGGATGTAAATGGATGTAAATGGATATAAAGATGTAAATGACGGATGTTTTTGGGAAATATGGGTGGAAAATCCATCTGTAGATGATTTTCCTGTGAACACCTCCACACTTGGAGGATCACCCCATGGATCGATTCAGTGGTGAGTAAATGGAATTACGGGCCATTTATAAATGGGACGCACGAAATGGGGACTTACGGACTTACGATCAGCAGGGTTATTGACCACTTACGATTCGTGGGATGATCAGGTGATTTTGATATTTCATCAGGAAAGATCGTAAATTCCACTGTTTCATGATAGTTGAGAGAATCACATTTTTCGCACCACATTTCTGGGTAACCCAAAATGTGTTTGTGTGTGTGCGCGCTTCAAGGGGGGGTGCGATTCTCACCGAAATTGCGTTGCCGAGGTCGATTCAAGGCCACCTTTGTCCTAGATCAACCTGCACTGCAAGGCTTTGAAGCTTGGGCTGAGTTCAGGGGAGAGGTAGAACGCCACATTTGGATGGTTTGCCTTTCGGTTATCCAACATTGCATTAGAAAACCTAAAAACAACATAAAACAACATTATATACATGGAGGTTTTCATGAGAAAAACAATCTATATGATTCATTTATGATTCTATATGGTGGCTTTTCCATTGCTATGTTTGATTACCAGAGGGTACCCTCCAGTAAAAACAAACATGGCAATGGAAATTGAGACATGGCGGATTCTGCCATGGCCTCGTTGCTGGGATGATTTGTTCAGCCCGTGTCAGCCTTGATTTTGGTCACCAGTGATCTTTGTCTCCTTCCATTTTGTGGTTGCATACGGTTGCAGATCTGTACCTCCTTGGTAAGTTATTTTCGTGCAAGTTGATGGCAGTCCAAACCCACCCTGACCAAAGTTTCAGGGTTTCAGGGGGCCTTGAGCAGCTTTCCGATTGCGTCTCAAGTGCAGCTATCCTCAGAATGAATTTACTGTCCTTGTTCCCATGAGCAGCCTCAGAATTTTGCATGGAACATCATGGAACCATAAAACGAAAGGCTACGGACCGGGTACGGAAGATCATTTGACCATTTGATATCCCTTGATGTCATTTGTCGCCTCCATAAATGTGAGGGACATCCACCCAAACGACCATGCCTGTGCAGCGCTTAGGATTGGATGCTATGGCTGGACTCGGATTCTTATTTCACGGGTCAGCTGGTGGAAGATTATGTGTGGGTCAAAACTCAACTGGCAGAGTTGGGTAGTGAACATCCCGACTCTATTACACATATAAGAGAACATTCCTGGGGTTGAGATATGTACCATTGCCTTGACGAGTTCTTTTACTTGGTGAAAGATTACCATGGCGCCAAGGAGGACCGCTCAATGATTCCGTGTACACTTTCCACGATAGAGACACCTTTGGCCGCCTTTGCTTAGATCAAGTGGCATTTCTAACCCAGCTGATCATGAATCCTCCCCCATTCCTGGGGTTCTGATCCAATTTATACCCGGGAAAACATGGAAAACTCGACATGGTGATGGCCCAGTACCAATCAATATCTGGTGAAGACCCAGGTGAAGTCGAAGAAGATTTTGCCATTACCATGCAACGTCAAAACGCCATCTTCGGGTACACCCACGTGGGACGAGAGGACCCATTGAACCAACAACCTTTCCCGTTCAGACTAGACTGTTAGATGTTATTTGTTGTTTTTGCTAAAATCACGTGGGTAGCACTTTTTATCTCGACCCTATTGATGATCTTCGATGGGAACCATGCTGCTTGTTGAATCTTACGGTAACTCAACCAGACTTCTCAGCTGTCAAATACGGCTTCTGGGCCTCTTATTTCCATCAATACAGGACAGCATTTCCTTAGTACTCGAGCTGTAGATGCGAGGGTTGGATTCTTTGCAAATCACGGAAAATGATGAGTAGTGAGTAGTAATTCACCAGCAAAGTCACCTTGATCAAAACCTATCCATGTCGACTGCTTTCTTCCACTGACCAGTCAGGGTTCCTCAGTTTCGATCATGATTTATCCCAACAGATCAACAGATGTTTTTTCCTTAGGTCCTACCATGCCCCGATTTTAAGTCCCACGTACCACTGGATATCACTGGATATCACTGGATATAACTGGATATAACTGGATCAACGCCAACTGGAGTGCAATTCACTGAGAAATTCTGACATTTGGTGGTTTCGACATGTTTTCTTCACCACTTTCCACGATTTTCGCTGGTTGTGCAGGACGCACCGGTGATCAAAAACTTGTTCGACATTGCGCTGCTGTTTGAGGCGGCGGAACTGGGTGGAAGCACCTCGGAGGAGAGAAGTGATGGCGGCGGTGGAGTCTTTTGAGTGGTGCAGTGATGGTGACGATGACAACGATGACTGGTATTTTTATAATATATTGGTTTTAGTTGGTGTTGTGGTTGTTGTGATTATTGTTGAGAATTATTACATATTATTACTATGTCTACAATGCTGAGTCTTCCAAATAATGATTGTAATAACGAGCAATAATTCCTAGTACCATGAATTCAAATGACTTAATGGTACTAATAGGTTAATACAGTATGTTCAGTAACAATAACTCCTATTAGTACCATGCCAGCAGGATGGTGATTCAGTGAGGTCATGGCCACCATCAGCTCGCCGGTCAGCTCTCCGAGGCAAAGACCGACCACCTGCGGCGATGGCCCAAGATGAAGGTGGCGTGCTGAACAGCGACAGGGCCTTTGAGGAGAGCTGTTGGAGATGGGGGTAGCACTAATGGGAGATCACCCAGAGAACAAACATGAAGATTTACTATGGTGAAATAATCCATAATCCATTGTAATCCATGATTTTTTGGTAATTTGGTGCAGTGCCCCACTAAATGACAAAATGTTGGGATTTCAACATATTTCAACCACCTAAAATAAGCAGCACGGGTCCCAAATCCGGACCAGAGCAAGTCGCCTTTTCGCGCCAGGAAGGCTTTAGCGAGACGTCGCAGAACACCTACTTTGAGCGGATCCTTTCCGCAGCTCGGCAGCGGCAACAGACTCTGGGTGCAGATCTGGTGTTGGCTGAGGAGTAAATGCTATCTTCTGATCCATCAACGACATAGATTGAGTATGATTTTTAATTGTATTGTTTTGTTCAGTCATGTCCAAAAACGCGTCGCCCACCAGAGTTACCCTTCTTCAAATCAGCCTACGGATTTCTAGGGCTCATTGCCTGATGACATTCAGTACATCCAATCCATTTTGCTGACGCCCTGAAGCCTTTCTCCCTCAAAACGCCCTGATGATGGCCGTCTTCAATCTCCAGATCCTCGCATCTCACAGATGATCAGTGACGCGGCCATTTTTTCAAAATTGCAGTCCCCTAAAGAATTGGATATTTGATATTAGATTATATTAGTCATTAGTTGAAACTCATCAATAATTGACACCACTCTATGGGTCTATTGGTATCCCATTAGTTGACATTACTAATTGACAATATTGACACCACTGGTATGGGTCTAGTCCAATTGTGCTGGTGCCTCCGGTGACTGGTACCCTGCTGAGGTGAACTCAGCCTTGGAGCGCGGGCATGTGTTGCCCTTTGGTGCGCCAGCCTGGAAGGGCCACGTGCCCTTGACGGAGCCTGGGATGGCAATGGATCAACGGATGGGAGGTTTACCGGGGTATGGCCCATAAAGATATCCAAATCACAAAATAAATCAGAAAAAAATTGCAAGAGTCCCAACATGTTCCCAGGGTTTGTGGAGATACAGAGCCTTGGGCTCCATTCTGATCAACTCTTTGCAATTTGTCAAAGAGTTCGGAGAGATTACAGGTTGAGACCATGATTTGTTTTTTCTTGCTGGATGGCTCAATCTTTTTATCTTCAAGCATTGAGAATGGCAGACTAGAGTCTGAAAGCTTTGCAGGGACGTGGAATTGTTTCAAGGGCCCTTTTGCTGGAGACCAGTGTGTTTAACCAGCAAAAACAATGATTTCCTGGAATCTCAACCCGGCCAAGATGTATTCTTCGATCTTTGAACTTCTCAGCCCTTGAGCATGCAGGACATGATGATTCTGCACATCAACAGCTTCCGCACAGACGCTCTGCGGAGGTTTACGGCCCGGGCACCCAAGCTGTCCTGCCGTCCAAGAGCCACAAGTATATGGTGGATGCCAGGAAGGAGAAACAGATGATTGCAAGGTGTTCATTTTGGATCATATCCATTCTAAAGGTCCAAAATTGGGTGTATACCCAAAGAACAGATTCTAGGATGAGCAGCGGATTCGGTCCCAGGTTCTTCAATTTTGATATTCGGCCTTAAAAGAAGGGAACAAGGACCATCAGATTCTTGCTGGTCAACATCCCCATGTGGTGGTTCATACCATATCCCTTGAAAGGGCGGCAGCGAACTCTGTGGTTTGCTGTAGATGTTCCGTCCTAAACTATAGGAAACCCTATTTTGTTCAATATATATATATATTTATATATATATATTGCGAAGCAGCCTCGCTTCAACAGCAGCCACCAGCAGCAACGCCTCTGCTGCTTTTCCCACCAATGGCTCAATCCGCACCGCTGCCCACCGCTGGAGGTGAACCAATAGTTGCGGCCAAGGTGCAAATGGTAAACAACCTCCCTCACATGTAAGACTATGGGAAAACAAGGACTGCCAAGATGGCAGCTGAGGTCCAACCGTCAAGCTCACCAGGACAATAAACTGTGGAAGTTTCACACACCCCTTACTTGGTCTTACCTGTCCAGAGGTTTGACATCTTTGCATGTCCTCTCGTGCCAGGCCAAAAATCCTTATTGTACCATCTATGCCCGTTCGAATCACAACCATGAGTTACTCTCTCCAACCCCAAGGTTCTAAGATCAACAGGACAATCCAGAATTCCTACAGGAGAAAACAACTGATATCTTGGGACATGATGTACGCGGATAACCTGGCCACTTGAGTCCTGTTCCCATGTGTCCTGCCGGACTTCTTCTGTACATTTCAAAACTGTCTCATTTTCTGGAGACTTGGACGTCACTTCTTTGGCCCATTTCAAACGCTGTCGCTTGTCAGATCTCTGTTGCAACACTCGATTTTCATCAAACAAAGAATACCGACCACTCTTCAAACACTGTCGCAAAACGCTTGCATCCATGCTCTTTGTCAAACAATCTGCAAGCTGAGCATTTGATGTAACCCATCTCACTACGCAATTGGCCTGCAATCTTTCTCTGATGAGCAAACACTCAATGGTGGTCCTATGCTCCTCACACTGTGGAACGGCCGTGCGAGTCAGAAGGTCATAGGCACTCTTACAGTCGGTCACAAGAGCAGCTTGTCGGGCTTCGTGCAACACTTTCTCGGGGGACTGCCATTCAATCGAGGGGTTATTCAACCACTGCCACAAAATCCTCAACCACAACAAACGATCAACATTCCCACTCAATGCCACTGCTTCAGCCCCCAAGGTGCTCCTAGTCACCCGTTGAATTTTCTTGCTCATCCAAGCTACTGGTGCTACCACTGATCTCTTGTTCTCCAGCAACTCTGGAGTCGTGACAAAAATCAAACCTCCCTGATGGGCATATTTCTCTTTTCCTGAAAGGAACGAGGCATCGGAGAAGGCACAGAAAGTCACTTGTTCAGGGGCAATCGGCAATGTCATTAAAGTCACAGGGTGAACCTTTGCCTCATGCAACACTCGATTTGCAAAAATCATGTCATCGACTGTTGCCTTTGCCACCCTACTTTGGATCTCTCCAACTTTGGCCGCAATGTCGGGACGGGTATGGACTGCTGCATATTGCAGAGCTCCAACAAGACTTCGCAACTGCGTCACTTCACTCGGGCTCAGCGCAGCTTCAGCATTGGTACGTCTCTGTTTTGGGATTTCAATTGGCCTAATCTTCTCTATATAGTCAATCTGATCATACTCCACACTGCCATCATCCCACTGCTGAAACCTTATGCCCGTGAAGACAAAGGACCCTTTTCCAAATGATCCAAAACTGAAACGCTTTCTGACTCTTTCCAAGGCTGCCATAAACATGTTGTCCCCACCCCCAATGCCATCATCGACATGAACCCCTAGGGAACCATGAACTCTTTCTTTCCCCTTTTCATCAACAGAAACAAGAGTAAAAACACAAGGATCAAAAGTACACTGTTTAAAACCTTCTTGCAACAACGAGTCACGAAACTTACAATACCACAAATAAGGAGCATCAACACGACCATACGCACTACCTACCAATTGACACTGATCACCAGGTTCCAACCCAAGGGCTTCTGTTAACTCCGGGGTGGGATACAAACCAAGCAAGCGGCCGTCTCCTTCGCCTTGAAGAAAGGCAGTTGAGACATCGAAGGAAACTAGTTCCCAACCATGACTACTCACCTGTTGCACCACCATCTGTCTTCCATCTTTGGTGAGTGTGGGTGAATCATTTTGAACCACCCCAACTCCAGGATCCTCGTATCCAACAACAATCAACCGGGCCTTTGCCTTACGACCCTCACTCACATCCTTGGGGTGATCCTCAGGTGAGGCTGATTTCCAGGTGAGCAGCCATCGGCAGCGCATGATTGCTTCCTCAGGAATTTTTCCTTTGGATGCTTTTCTCACAGTTCCATGTTTGAGCCAGGCGCCTATTTCTTTGTGCTTGGCCACCGCCATGCGCTGTTGGTCAGCACTGCTTAAATCACTCAAACGGACTTCAACTCGTTTCTTCTTTGCTCCAGTCACCAACAACACACTTTCATCTGCTGATCCAGCGCAAAACAGTGCATGCTCTTCATGGTTTTCAACAGGAATTTCAATCTCCCAGAACTGGCAACACCTATCATCTGCAGACATGGTGATGTCATCTCCAAACAGAAGGTCATCCGTTGGTTCAAGATTGACGCCCGCCTGTGAGGCATCACCATCGGACTCACTGACACTTTCTGGAACCGGCACACGCACGTAATCAGGGAGTTCATTCTCTGACTGTTCCACTCCTTGAGGCGGTTCAGACTGATTGCTCAACTCCCCATTAGGTGTCCCAGGTGGCTGAACTGACAACTCTCCTTCGGGCTCCCCAATTGATGGGTCATATCCCTCTGTTTCAGCTTCCCAGTCAGGAAAATCCTCCCCATCTACATCAATGAAACTGCCATCATTGAGGGCTCTCTGTAAATCTGAGTTCCCTGGGCCAGACTCTGTGAGCAACTCTTTGGCCTGTTTCCACTCCCGAAAACTGGCTGCACGAAGTTGCTCAGGGCTTGTGCGCACTAGCTTTCCAGCATGATTCAACCAAACATTCTTGGACCCTTCGACTGCAACAACACTCGCTGGCCCATACCAGCGACCACGATCTCTACGTAGATTGGCACCCCTCCTACGCCAATACAACACAAGATCTCCTATTTCAAAGGGTCCTCGCATTGGCCGAGTCCGCCTCAAAAGCGCACGACGAAGACTGGATGAATTATCAGCTTCTATGAAAGCTCTGCGTGCACTGCTGCGTCTTTCCAGACTGGCTCGAAAGGCTTCGCTCTCGGGACCAGTCCCTTCAGCCAGAGTTATACTTCCTACCCCCTGACTAGAGACAACGGACCCAGGCAATCTTTTGGCAATTCCAAGGACAGCTTGTTCGGGAGAGTATCCCTTCACTCTGGATAAACTGTTCTTGGCATTGAACACATGAACCAAAGCCTGCTCAAACTCCCCAACCGAGTTTATTGGTGACTCCAAATCCATGCGACTCAACATCTTCTTCACAACTGATCCGTGAATTTCCACTCTCCCCAGTTGCCAGTGTGCTTCACTTGCACTGACTTTGACATGGATGTCATGCCGTTGCATTCTGTCCTGCCATGCTTCTGCCGTATATTCCGTGCCAGGGTCAACATACACAACTTGTGGAGTGCCAGCCCATAACATCCAACATTTCTCAAAGACTCGAATTTGAGAATCTGTGTCCGCACTGACAACATGAGAACCAACATGAAACAAAGTCCCTTCATCAGTGATATGAGAACACTGAAAGTTCTTACCAACACTATTAGTCCAAACAGCAGTGTCCATACCAATCACTTGATTGAATCCCAGATTCTCATGAATTGTGCCAGGACGGGTGGAGTCTGGACCAGCTTTTGTTTCCGCACAACTGTCGCACTGATAATCCAGAGCTCCTTGAACCAAATGAGGTTCCGCATGCCTTTCCTTCAAAAACCAGGCAAACTTCTGTGGATGTGGATGGCCTAAGTTGTGATGCAACCTCCGAATCTGAGCCTTTTCATCACCATTCAACAACATGTACCCTGGTCCATGAACCGGAACATTCTTGGGAGGGTCTTTACTTACCACAACAACATCTTCACCATCATCCCCAGTACCTGCTTCCTTATCAGACCCCATTGTCTCAAGCTCCCCTGACTTTGGAAAACTTCCAAAAATGGTGAGGCTCATCTTTGCAGATTGACCCTTTCGAATTTGCTGCCTTTTTGGCAGAGCAGCCCATTCCTCAGCTGGGCCAGGTACCATTGACTGACCCGTGATGCGGTCTTTGACCACGGTCAATCTCAACGGGATGGTTTCTGGGTCCGCATCAGCTCCAGGAAGGCGCAACCTCTCAGTTCCCCTACAGGCTTCAACCCTCTGAACCTTCAAGTTTGGGGCCCCCTTCTGAATCTGAGCTAAAACCCCATCATCATCCAAAACACGTTTGCCTACCCGTGGAACCATGGTTTCAATTTTCTTAAAAATGCCATCCCAATATTCACCGGCTGCACATCCGTGGTCACCTGCTGGTGTCTGTTTGCAGTGATACCTTGGACGCTTCACTTCTGCTGAAACCGGCTCTTCTAAGCTCTCTGGAACTGCTGCAGCGGACACTCTTTTTCTTTTGACAACTCCGGCAACAAAAGCTTCATCAACATCACAAACATGCAACTCATCCAAAACCAGTGGCTTCTCATCAAACCTACAGGAAACATACCTTGCCACATTCCTACCAAAACCGGAGGTGTACCTTGCAGCATATTCCGAGAGAGAAATCCACCGACCCAAATGATAGATCTTGCCAGCAATTGGAGCATGCTTATGATGCCCAGGACACAATCGGTGGTCAAATGCATCATGGAAAATCTTTGAGGAAGTGTAGACATGCGTCCTTTTCCTAAGGAAATTGTTTCCAGACACTCGTCGCATCGCATGTGGGGCAAGTAGTTTTCCAACTTCACACATATCAAAAACAGTACACAGGGTCCCACAGTAAATATCATAGACTTCCGGTTGATAAATCAACTCCGACCCTTGGGGTTGTTCCAAATGAAATTGACCACCACAATCCATCTGATACCAATAAACATCATTACAAAGCTTCAAATGAACACGTTGCTTCTTGCGACCCTCTGAAATCATTTGTTCTGTGCTTTTGCTCCTGCCCATGTTTCTGCGACTGAAGTTGCCCCAATATTTACATTCTGGTGCCATCCAGACTTCTCTCGGTCGCTCTTCCTCCAAAACTTTCCAAAGCGCAGCTTGACCTTCTGGTGTAGAAAGATCTCCATCACTGAAAGTGAATCTTCTGGCCTTCAATCCCAGCTTACAAGCTTGTTCTGTGATTTGAGAATGTTCTTCACAATAGATCTCCAGAAGATCACTTCCAAACTTCTGGAAAGTCTGAGAGTCGGTCAGCGTCGGCCATATCTTTTGAAGACAGGTCAGCTCTGCTTCAATTGTTCCCATTGCTAGTTCAATCTTTTTGAGCAATTGGTTGGTCAATTGCTGATCTGTCTCGAGTTGCTCTACGCTAGACCTCTCATTCAGACTCCCTCCAAGTCGGCCTTGATCTTGTCCATCTCGCGCTGCAAGATCGCCATGCGAGTGATCATCTCCTCTTTCTGCTGCACCTCGATCGCCATCTGCGACTGCTCTTCTTCCATGGGGCGCTTCTGACTTGGTGATGACATCGTGCTCATCGGACGCGATGTCACCCCTCCTGTCAACAGCTCCCACTCTGGTCCTTGACTCTTCTCGATCTCTGCCTTCGGATACATCTTGGACATCTCGGCTTTGGCCCACTGTCTGGCATACTCCTGGTAGAAGGCCTTCGAGCAATCTTCCTGCATCCTGTCCATGGCTTCCACGTAAGCCTGAAAACTCAGTGCCCAAGCTGACACCAGTTTCCTGTGCTCCTTCATGAACTTGCCGTACTTTGGGTCCTCCTGGTATGCCTGAAAGAAGGACTTGTGCCGCCACTTCCCTTCCGGGAACTTCAACTGACCCCACTCCCTCAAGGTCATCACACCTGGAGGGCGACGACTTTTGATCTCTGGTAGTTGTCGATCTTCGAAGGCCAGAGAGGCATCCACTTCTCCGGACAGCATCGCATCTAGCATCTCTGTCTGGAGTCCCGGAAATGGCGTTCCCGAGGCACTTGGAAGAGTCATGGCTGTCAGCTTGAGAAAGAGCGGACTGACTTTGAAGCCGATCTGGTTCTCGGTCAACTTGAGGTTGAGCCACAGCAGCTGTAGCAGTCGTCGAAGATGTACTTGACATTGTGTTTGGCTGCTGCTGCTGCTTGTGTGTGCAGTAAACCTCCCTACTTCGATTTTCAATTCTACTACTTGCCAAAGTGATGACTTCCTCAAACTTTTCTGAATTACTTCTCATGCTAGCCGCATCAATCAAGTCTGCCAACTTGACAATAAACAGCCCCTTGGCATTTCTGGTGAGTGTCATGGATTTTCCCCAAGAAGACACTTCCAAACAGGATTTACTCACCAGAACATCTGCGCCAAGTGCATGAAGAAAGGCATTTGAAATGAGGAAAGGCGTGGTTCCTCGAACCACTTCAATTTTCATCCATTGTTTCCCAAACGGTACAAACAGCGCACCAACACTCTTCAAAACACCATTGTTACCAAATCTAAAAACGGTTTCAGATTCCTTCCACTTAACCATCTCACGGTGTTCTGCCTTCAAAGTAGTCAAAAGTGCACTCACTCGCTTTTCGCCGATCACGGACTTGCTTGCACCGGTATCTATGATCCCAGTGCCTGAGTCACCTAAGCTGCCATTCCTACTTTCCTCAGTTGACTCAGGGGACCTGCCAGTGACACTGAAGCTTGTCTCAATTGCTCGACGAAACATTTCTTTCAGTTTGGGAAAATATTTCAAACTCTTTTCACAACATGACTTCCCTTTGGGAATGTTGATCGCATGCAAAATCATTTCATGGGAACCTATTAAACTGAATTCTTCATTATCAACATGGTACTCAGGTGGCACCATCGTGGGCAACCAAAATTTTGAACACATCCCCACCTGCCAATTGGCAAGATCATGGCCAGGAAGTTCATCAAGAAGTTCACCACCCCCTGAGAGCTCTTCCGTGAGGATCACGTTCGCATCTGCAGTCACATTCTTGTCCTTCAGCGGGCACTCATCCTTCCAGTGGCCTCGTGCTCCACAGGCGCGACAGGTAGAGCTTGCTATGCGCTCTGCAAGACTCTGATACTTTCTGGGGCCTTTGCCCTTCTTTGACTTGTTCTTGCCTTTCCCTTTTCCATGACGAAGGGGCCAAAACCCTCGGCTGCGAAACTTGTCTCGAAGCTTCTGTCGTGCCTCCTGGTACGTGGAGAACGCCATGGCCAGTTCAGGTGAATCCTGACAAACATGGATCACCTGATCCTCGAACTCTTGTATGGCAAGTGCTGTCTCATCACCTTCCTCGATGAGCATGGCTAAGGCTTGCTCTTCATCACATTCTTCTTCAGCTGCATAGTGAATTTCATCCAACTCCTCTTCCACAAAGTTGGCTGGATACACCTTCTTGCGTCCAGCATCTGTCTGCCCAAGCACTTTGGTCGACAGGGACCTCATTGCCTTTTCCACTGCCGACGGATCATAGTTGCCTGCCATAGAGACCACACGCTTCTTGTCCTCAACAGTCAAGGCACTCTGTCTCAACATCACGAAGGCTCGAACTTGTTGGACGGTTGTTTCAGAGCCCACTTCTTCGAAAGCAACATTGATTCGGTTGACAAACGACATTGCTGACTCGTCTGTCTTTTGGACTACTCGGTAAAACGCCTTCTCAAATTTGTCAAAGGTCTGAAGTTCCTCGGCATCCTCCCAGGTCTCCAAAGCTTTCAACAGTACCTTGTAACCAGTCTCAGGGTCTGTCAACTTCGACGCATCAATGGCTCTCACCTGACTCCATGCAGTCCCTTTGCACTGCAAAGCCAACCTTGGTGCCAACATACTTCTGTCCTTCACAGGGCATATGCCCCATAGAAACTTCACCTTGTCCGCATACTCTTTGGCGCTATCGACACTAGGGTCGAAACTCGGCAACAAGCTCCACAAGTTGCTCGTCTTCTCTTCCACACTCACGCTTCCACCAGGCTGTCCCTCAGCCCCGTCTGGCATCTTCCCAAGACGCTTCCACCTTTATTTTCACTACCCAGTCGCCTCACCAGGTACTTGCCCTTCTCAACCAAGTTTTCCTTCTGGAAGTCCTCCTCCAGCGCCAGCCCGCAGGCTCTGCTACCAATGCGAAGCAGCCTCGCTTCAACAGCAGCCACCAGCAGCAACGCCTCTGCTGCTTTTCCCACCAATGGCTCAATCCGCACCGCTGCCCACCGCTGGAGGTGAACCAATAGTTGCGGCCAAGGTGCAAATGGTAAACAACCTCCCTCACATGTAAGACTATGGGAAAACAAGGACTGCCAAGATCGCAGCTGAGGTCCAACCGTCAAGCTCACCAGGACAATAAACTGTGGAAGTTTCACGATATATATTTATATTTATATTTATATTTATATTTATATATATATACATATATATATATATAAGAAAAAACATTGCTGTTCATAGATCTTAAGCGATTTTCCTATATAGACTATATGGATTTAAGCTGATTTTAATTTTTCCAATAGGTCCCATAGATTTCCCAATTTTTGTGACCTCCGGACTTCCCAAAAAGGACTGGATTGACTCCTGGGGCGGCTGGTGGCTCTACCGCTGGGGCGATGCTGCTATCCGGGCAGTGCAGTTGTGGGTGATGCTGGAGGTACCTGGGAGGTACCTGGTGGCTTCAACGGATCAAACAAGAACTGGGGTGTGAGGCGTGAAGCCGTAGTCTTGGGTGAATTTGAAACTCAAAGTTCATGGGAATCAGTAGATACATGAAGATAATAGATACTATTATATATATATGTATTATTGGCGATTTAAGGCAACTGAAATTGGGAACTGTTTTGTACAGTGAGGTGACAAATATTCTTCGATGTTTGAAGATGCCCGGGGGCGGTGGCTTCGAGGCCAAAGAGTGCTATGAGTTTGATAGCTTGCCTTATGCAGCTTGGATTGAGATCGAACTTGGGCAACTTGGGTGGTGGTTGTGGGCCTCAAATTTAACCCCTTCGTGGGTAACATGTGGATGTTGCCACTCACATTCTTTTTGCGAGACATTGGATGCGTTAGATCCTCAAACTCACCAGCCATTGGGTCACCGTCCCAAGGTACGATTGAGCCATCCCATGTGCGATCTCCCCAACCCCACCACTCCTAGCGAGGTACATCAGCACTTCTGCCGCTGCCCCAAAGAGGTGAACGCGCCCTGTACCTTTTTGGGACGAGGGGCTAAGATGCTCAGCTGGAATCAAGACAGGGTTGAGGGAGGGTCCACGTTCGAGGTGTTGGGGGGTCGATATGCACTTGGGTTCTGTCGGTTCTGCTCTGTTTTTTTTCCCCAGGAGTTCACCAAAGTCCTTGAATCTTCAACTAGCTCGAAGGCTCACAGTTTTGAAGACAGGTGGAAGGCAAGCCTGGGAACCGAAAATCCTGGGGACCTTATCAGAAGCCTTTAGGAAAGCACAGTCATCTACAGCCATCAAGTTCCGCAAACCCAGGATCTTTCGCTGGAGCTGCGGAGCTGAGCAAGAGACTGAAGAAACAATGGCGGCAGCTCCTGCAATCTTTGATAACCTTTGGTCATTTTGATGGGGGAACTGTGAGTTGGGACATGTTGGAACTAAGAATCCGACACCCAAAAACCTGGCAGATTTGTTGGAAAGCCCCTAAGGTTGGGATTTGGAGGATGTTTCGATGCATGTGGAGCCTACCTTATAGGAACTACCAGCTACCAATGCCTTGATCAAATGGCAATTGCACATGCTTTACAGGGCATCAAAGCAGTTGCGGGATGTTGCGGGAATTTGCGGGAATCCAAATGTGCGGGAATTACTCGAAACAATTCAGCGCTGAGTGGAACTGGGAGCCATTTTGGAGGAGGCATCCACGGCCATAGAGTGTAGCAGTGCGAGCCAAGTTCTATGCAATTTTAAAGGACAAAAGGATGGCAGAATAAGATTAGAATAAGCACATACCAGCAAGACTTGGTTTGCATCCAGTTTCAGTGCACCTGCATGGGCTATCTTGCGTTGCAGATGTTGCAGCCCTGTGGCTGCAAAGATGCATGATACTTTTCTTTGCAGGGAAGGTGGTGCCTTGGCATTTACAGTAGACTTTCTTGGATAGATTTTGGCATTTGATGAACATTTCTGAACTCGAAATGCTTCACCCAGTGACCATTGGCCATCACGGACTCCACGAAGATTTGATGAAAAAATCTGGTGGAAACAGTTGGTAGCTAAGTGAGAGTCTGTAGGCGTATCAGGCCATGAAGGCGAGCAAAGCAAGGGCCCGGCACCCCGAAGCTGCATGGGATTTAGCGGCTGTACCAGCTTTGGAATGTATATCACGATATCACAAGACCTCTGCACCGTTGCCAATTTCTGTGAGGTGCGGAAACTACTCGCACAGTATGTTGTTGCTGCTGTTGATTGTTTGTACACTCGAGAGGGTTGCAAAACTTGAGGGCACTTTAGGCCCTTGACTGCCCTTGACTGCCCTTGACTGCCCTTGACTTTTGTTTATTGCATGCCAAAGGTTTGGCCACATTTGCGGCTTCTAAGCGTCTCACGTTTCAGGATGGAGCTAGAGGGGGTGCATTTCGCATCGAGGGCATGGCTCGGATGTGCCCTGAGCTCAGTTGGAGCTCACTCCGATTCAGGGAGGACCATCAGGATTTGGTAACCCGCATGGGAAACAGCACCATTTTTGTGGCCAGATGTTGCCACCCAATGTGGCAACGTTGCACATGATTCGCATGATGTAAAATCACATGCTACTGCAATGTTGCCACAGTACAGTGACCATCTGCATTTTCCTCTTTGCAATCTGTGATCTGCACTTGCGCGGCTTGGCGGGCACCGCTCTTTGCTCAAGTGACAAACAGTGTCCAAATCGATTCAAATCTCATTTCGAACTGTTCCCTATAGAGAATCTCAATGGCGTGGATGATCCTGTGGATGTTGCTGCTGAGTTCGGGATTCTTCCAGGATGCCGTGGGATGCACAAATGACACTTGTCACGAAGACAATGCCCTTGTGCAGTTGCCCAAGTCTCAAAGCTCGACTTCTGTCTGGGTTCTAGGCGCTCAGGGCAGCAATTTTGGGTATAGCTGGTTCATAGTCATTCTGTCAATGTTCATTTCGTGGGAACCTAGAGCCGAGTCAGGACGTATATATACATACATATATGCTTGGACCATGGGCCATCCTCCCAACAAAACACCCCGTCATATGTGATGTTTCTTGGGAAAGTTTCGAGTTTTTTTTGGTGAAGATGTTTTGCAAAATCTCTGCTCTACGGACTCTACGCACTCCCTGTCAGGAGTTTCTTCACAAAGCTGCGATGATGCTTGTGAAGCAGTGTCGGGCATTTGCGACTTAGACACGATGAAGAGCGCCACACAGACAGACCTTGAAAAGGCATTCACAAATTTGAACACAGGTTACCAGGTTTTAACTACACAGGTCTTCCAAGCGTCTGGTGTTCCACAGAGGTCCAAGAACCTCGGAATCTTGTACTTTCACGGATTTGATTGGGGCGGCGGACAACAGGCCCAACTCTTTTTGATTTCAGATCGAAGTTTCATGAATTGTGCAGTGAGCGGAGGAGGAGATGCTATCCCGGGGCGTACTTTGCAGAGAATGTGCTCTTGCATTGTCCAAAATAATGATCCGGGGATTGTGAATGGAGACCCACACATTCAAACTCTTCATGGCGCTCGCTACACGTTGCTGCGAGAGGGCACTTTCAGGGCTTGGAGCTTCAAGAAAGGACAAGCGGACTTGGAGCTGTTGGCTGCCTATGGAGGGCCCAGGTGGGGCAGATATGGGCAGATAAAACATGATAAAACGCGATAAACCATGATAAACATGAGAACACATGATAAAGCAATAGACAATGATAGACATCCTCGGGCTTCTTGCAGGTTCACAACACAAGCGCTACTTCTCAAGGAGACGTCTGGCAAAACGATGGAAATGACCGTGAAGGACTGTGCATGGCACACGCTTCGCGGAAACGACACATCACCCATCCAGTTCAAGGCCAAGGGAGCTCGCAAGCACAAAGAGTTCAAAGACGTGTTCATGCAGACCATCACCATGAAGCAAGAGCACCGAAAGATCGCGAAGCTCGTCAGCAATTGCCGAATTGGCAAGCACATGGATTTCAAGGTGAACATGTTTAGAAAGAGCGAGCTGGCGCATGTCGGTGGGCAATTGGGGACTGCTCCTGGCAGCATCAAGACAGGGAACCATCTTCTCCGACTTGACCAGGACATGAGCATGAAAGCAGACTCAGAGTTCAAGGTCGGGAGGATGCATGTTGGCATGATGTGGTTTCTTGTGTAGATTGGCAAGTCCCGCAAGCCCCACAAGTCCCGCAAGCCCTAAATCCCGCAGGTCCCGCAAGCCCCGGAAGGCCCGCAAGCCCCGCAAGTCCCGCAAGCCCTAAGTGCCGCAGGTCCCGCAAGCCCTAAGTCCCGCAAGTCCCGCAAGCAAGCCCCAAAAGCCCCAAAAGCCCCAAAAGCCAAGCCCCGCAAGTCCTGCAAGTTTCGCAAGTCCTGCAGGTCCCGCAAGTGGAAGCCCCGCAAGTCCCGCAAGCCCTAAGTCCCGTAGGTCCCGCAAGCCCCGCAAGCCAAGTCCCGCCGCAAGCCCCGCAAGCCCTGGAAGCCCGGTAAGCCCCGCAAGTCTTGCAAGTCCCGCTCCCGCAAGGTTGAAGAGACTTGGCAGTCCCTGGGAGGGAGTGAAGAGGCCAGCGTGGATTTGGAAAGTAAGATGCAAGGCAAACCTACTGAGCTGTCGGTGCTGCAAGGGCCTTGCAGCGAAGAGGCCACCACCATGTGTGCCAAGCATTTCCCGAATGTCCATTCCGAGGTGGGGATAGACCAACTATGGCCCGGGGTTCGAGAAATTCCTTTTCACCCATATGAATCATGAAAAAGAAAATATGACTCATATGACTTGTGATCAATGGGCCACCAGGGTTTCAACATCTAGGTTTCCCCTTGTACAAAGGTCGGGGTTTCACATGTTTTCACATGGCGACCTGCCGACCAGGTCTTCGTGAACTGTGTCTTCGACACTTGCAATGGCGGAGATGAAGCAGATGCTGCCACAGCCGCCGAGCTGATGTCAGCTTGAGATTCTCCGATTGTCCTTGAGGGAGGGCTCATCCGGCCAAACTGGCCAAACTTACAACATTTTCTAAACCTGATATGGCTATGGGTCAAAATTGGGTACCTCAATAAGTAGATGGTTAATACTCAACATATACTAAAATCTGTGATCTCATAGGGCTTAACATTTGACCCATCCCCATATTGTTCAGGAACAAAACCGTTCTTGCCCACCGGGAATGTTCCGGCCATACGCGCCATTGCATGCCGAATGTTGCTTACGCATCTTGGCGAATTGCTTTCAAAAAGTGGGCTGGGTGGTGGGGAGCATGCTGTTGCCTGGCACCGCAAGAGCCACCGCCACTTTCTGATCGCCAGCATGCAATGTGAGTTCATTCCAAGGCTACGCTGCGAATCGTGCCCTTCTTTGGCGTTACCACGCTGCCAGAGTGGCAGCCAGTGGCAGCCAGATACAATGGATACGGGTACGTCCTGGAGGTGTCTTGGACAAACACATGCTAGCTCTCATGACTTGTTTACGGATCTCCAAACTCCAAACTCCCCTCATCGAGGTCGATGCTTCATCCAGTTACCACTGAACCATCGGCCCATTGGCCAGAATAAAATCTGAAGAACTTCTTCCATGGATAGGTTTGGCAGATTTGGCAGCTAAGTTAGAATCCGTGTGCACCGTATGGTCACCTGGCCAAGGAAGATGTGGGCGTGCGAGCTGCGGTCTCGTGGTACCAATCCCAGGACGGTGGGATGTACATGGACCATGACTACATGGGATAGCAGATTTTCATAGATTTTCATGAGGTGCCTGTGGCCAATTTAACCTTACACGGTAGGATGATGTAGACGGGGTGCATTTGCCATCGTCGAACTTGGCATGGTTTCGAATGATCGAATCCCTCAGCCCAAGATCTTACAATGGATTGACCAGAAATTACTACTTCAGGTCAGTGAGTGTGACCCCTTGGTACACCTTGGCACACACAAATGTTTGAGCATGTTTGAGCCGAGCTCACTTTCTGGGAATCAAACATGGGAGTGGAGGGTCCCCATTTGTAGATGATTATAGATGATTTTGGGTATCTTGATGGTTTTACCACGCACCGATGAATCCACCAGGCACGGAAGACGGCTTTGCGGGACGTCGCAGAACACCCACTTTGAGTGGATCCTTTCAGCAGCTCGGCAACTGAGCCATGCGGCAAACCTGATGATGGTTGTGGGAGGGGAATGAATTGTATACAGTTTATTGTATTGTTTTGTTCAGCCATGTCCAAAATTCCCCGCCCACCAAGTTAGCCTTTTTGAGAGTAGACCGGAAACGACGATGGGTTTAGCCCATGGAAGTGGGGCTCATGCTTGAAGACACTCATTACATTCAATCCACTTTTGCTGTTTGGAACGCCTTTCTCCCTCAAGACGTGCTGATCAAACAGATGGCCGTCTCACGAAGACGAGTCTAAGTTGCATCTAGTTCTTCAATCTACAGACGCTCCTGCGCATCTCACAGATCAGTAACTTGGCCATGGCCCAAAATTACGGACCCTTCAAGAATTGGATATTTGATATTAGATTATATTATATTAGTCATTAGTTGAAACTCATCAATAATTGACACCACTATGGTCTATTAGTTTCCCATGACAGTAGTACCTCATTGGTGCCCAATTGGTACCCCCTTGGTTTTGGATCGCGGCCAACTACTGCTGGCTGCGATTGAGGTGAATGCTCACCCCTCACGTGCGCTCGCCTGAACGTGCCCTTGACGGAGCCTGGGATGGCAATGGATCGACGGATGGGGAGGTTTACTGGGGTATGGTGGTATGGCCCATAAAGATATCCAAATCACAAAATAAATCAGAAAAAAAAACTGCAAAAGTCCCAAAATGTTCCCAGGGTTTGTGGAGATACAGAGCCTTGGGCTCCAGTCTGATCCACTCTTTGCAATTTGTCAAAGAGTTCGGAGAGGTTACAGGTTGAGACCATGATTTGGTTTGCCTTGCTGGATGGCTCAATTTTTAATCCTTAAGCATCCTCGTGAGAATGGCAGACTAGTGACTAGAGTCTGAAAGCTTTGGAGGGACGTGGTGGAACTGGTTCAACGGCCTTTTTTTGCTGGAGACCAGTTTGTTTTGAAATACAAATGTATGTAAGAACATTGCGAGTGAAATTGCATGGTTGTGGGTGGGAGGTTTAACACACCACCTCCCAGCGTGGTTGATCTTGCAGTTCCCACATGCCATTTTGGCTCAAGCTGCCAGTGTGCAGCTTGGACTAGTGGTGTGTGAGAACTGCTCGGGTGTCCTACTCAGCGTAGCGCGGATCGGGTCTGGGCGGCCCTGTGTAGAGGCCAGAGATCCTTGTACAGAGCTTCGAAGTATCTGCGTAGTATCTTGGTTGGGGGTTTGACTCATGTTGATTGTTTGGTTGGAGTTAATCTGGTTAGGGTTGTTCATTACTTGAAACACCACTTCCAGTTGGAATGGGATGCTAAACGTGGCAGTCCTTTGGATGCCTTTAAACAGTGGATGGATGATAAGGGCTGGCAAGTTCAACAGCCCTGGGTTTGGGCTATCCAAGGTTCTTTTTGTAAAATTGACCTTAGGCTGCCGGATGTGGACTGGGTTTCGGAGTTGCAACATAGACTTCGGGATGGATGGAGGTGGTTCATGGTTGTTAAATTTCTTGACCAGGACAGACATGACAATCAGGATTTTGATTATACCATTCAGGATTTCTTACAATTTGATTTTAAAGGTATGAGAAAGTTGTTGGATGTCAACTCTTCCTTTCGTACGGTGCTTCTTGGTGCGGCGTGCAGCCCTGCATGCTTTCAGAACGGAGGTCCTTTTGATACCTCTTGTATCTGGAACTGTGGTGGACTTGGGAACTGGGACCATATATGCTGGGAATGTGAACTTAGACCCAGCAACCTGGTGGCGAAGGACCCCATCCTTAAACGTTTCGGATGGTGGAAAATGGGGGGTTCTTCTGAGCATGCTGTTTGGATGGGAAAAGTGGTTCAGACCATTTGGTCCCTTAGGTACCCCAAAGGGGATGGATGATCTGGTTTGAGACTGCTGGTGGGTCGTGTCTCCCTGTTGGGCTAAGGTTGCTCCTTGGAACCTACTTAGGTACCCGTCTCTTTTCCTTAGGGTGGTGTCGCAGCGCTCCGGCGCTGCCTCCCTGTGCTGTTCTTGCGCTGCTGTCGGCGCGTTCTTCGACCAGTACAGGCAAAACTACTGCTGCTGAACTGCTCGGGTGTCTGGTGTTTTTTGTCTTTTGATGGGCACCGAGCTGATTCTTTGGACACCCGCGACTTTGTCCTCCGCCGGCTTTAATCCTCAGTGGGTCCTGTGCGGCTTGCTGGTGATCTGCTGGGTGTGGGGCTGCGCGTGTGGCCTGTGCTTCGGCTGCCTTGGGCGGTGTCCCAAAGGCTCCCGGAGGGCTACGCCGCATCAGGTCAGCCCCCCCCGGCCGTCGGTGCGGGACTTTCCTTTCAGTCCTAAGCAGGATTGATGCATTGGAAGCTTCTGTGCTATGGCATCTTTACTTGCTTCACCGGCCGAATTGGCTACGCTGAATTCACTGGCCGATGTGGTCACCTTCGCAGCTGTGGACGCAGATCTATGGGCGTTGTTTGCCAAACATCTTGGCAATCCACCCAGTGTCCGGATCTTGGCCATGGTCCCAGCCTCCGTCCTGCAGAAAACAATTTTGGGCCTGCGGATCCCCTCTGGTGCCGCCCCGGCGGATGGCAGTCCGCCTCCGACACGCGATCCCAACGTCACAGAGACGATCCAGATGGCGTTGGCGTGGCGGGTGGCCAGGCAGGCCGTGGGATTGGAGGACTTGGACCCTATGCTGCCAGGAGCAGAGTCCTCCTCGGCGGTCAGGGCCGCGGTTGGGGCAAGTCCACCAGTGAGTGGAATGCCACTGGCAGCCCCGGCATTGGCTGCACAGAACCAACCGTCACCAAAGAAGGTGAAGTTGTCAAATGTGTTGGACCAGACAGACGACACAGAAGTGGCAACAAAGACAAGGGCAGAGATGGGCATCTACTACGAAAACCATCGGGAAATCACTGGTGCGGACCCATTGCCAGAAGTGGAGCCGACCGATCTTCAGGTCGCAGCGATGGAAGACAAGGTTGTGGTGAGGGACGAAAGCCCTTACGCAGACTTCTCCATCCTGACACCCTTTGGGAGAAGAATACAACGAGCCATGAAAACGAAAAGTTATTCCTTTCAGCTGGATGGCACGTGGAAAGCGGCCGATATTCCGGGACCGCCTCACTTTCAGGCGTGGCAAGCCTGCTTCAGAGTCTACCGTGCAGTGCTATTCATGCTGCGCTACAATGCGACGGCGGCACCGGCTGGGGGAGCGCCAGTGAGCGCTACCCGAGGCATGGTGACGAGGAGGCCGCTTGTGGTCCAACCTCACTCCCTCGAGCGATACTTCGAGGCGTTCAAAGAGCTCTGTCAGGAGTTTCCGGAGTGCTGGCACCTACTAATGCCAGCCGAGGATCGAATGAGAGCCGAAAGGTTCGAACACATTCGAAGGAACCTGCAAAGAGCGCACAACGAAGGCAAAGTGCCGCTGGACGTGGACTTCAACCCGGCAACCCCCTGGGATGGAGTGTTTCAAGCCGCGGCGTTGGATCACCAATACTGGGATTCCAATGTCAGGAGGCCAGCGGTCGCCTTCTTGGCAAGAATGGGGAGCCAAGTGCAACCAACACTCGAGCCAGTGTCAGAGGGGGCAAAAGCATCATTGGCCAACGTGGAAGCGGCATTGGGTGCAACAGCTCCTTTGGGACCGACGTCGCCGGCCAACAAGAAGACGAAGAAAAGAAAGAAGGAGAGTCCAGGAGAAGGCTCAGACAAAGAAAAGAAGCAGGCCACGAAGCCCAAGGTGGAGGACCGTTTTACGAACAAAACCCATCCAAAGAAATGGGGAGGGCTCTTCCACAGCACGCCAGAAGGGCGAGAGCTGTGTTATACTTGGGCGAAAGGAGCTACCCCGGACGCTTGCTCGGAGCCCTGTGCGGCAAACCGAGCGCACCGATGTCAGATCTGTTTGGGTGCACACCAAAATCGGGAGTGCAAGAAGGACCCGCCAAAAGGAAAAGGAAACAAGAAATAGGAGGTAGCCCCCGTCCTGCAAAGCTCCGCCTCCGGCGCGCCCAGTGTTGGCGTGGAAAGGGGGCTGGAAGGGTCAAGCGTCCGGCGCTTCAAATTTCTGGAGCTGTTTGCCGGGCAAGCAGGATTTTCGGGGGCCGTCGAATTGGCTGGTGGAGAATTGGTCGAAGTTATGAACCACCAAGACTCTTGGACCACAAGTTGGGATATCTTGGTGGACGAGGATTTCGAAAGGGCAAGAGCATGGGTCAGAGAAGCAGACCACACTCACTTGGCGCCTCCTTGCAAGTCTTTCACAAAGGCACGGAGGTCGGACAAGTTCGGGGCCACCAAAGTTGTTCGGTCTCAGGCACAGCCAGAGGGCTGGGGAGACCCTTTGACTGTGGAAGGCAACAAAATCGTCGAGAGAACGGCGGTCCTGTTAGACGAAGCTCAGGCGGCAAGAAACACCGCCTCGCTGGAGAACCCAGAGGACTCGTTCATCTGGGAGCAACCAACGTTAGAGAGGCATATGAAAAGAATGAGAAAGGTGGGGCTCGACCAATGCCCGTATGGAGCAGAGACCAAAAAGCCGACTGGTATTCTTACAGACGCAGTTTGGATGACGGACGTCTGTGCCAGGTGCGTGGAAGCTCGACCCCACGAACATATGCCAGGAGGGCTGGCTGGAAGGACCCTGGACTATTTCTTCGATCCTCCCAGGGAAGTGTGGAAAACTGCTTTGGCAGCCGAGTACCCCACTGGACTCTGCTGGGCATGGGCGCAGTCACTTGTCCGCTTCTTGAAGACGGAGGAAGGACTGGTGACGTTGCAAAAGAAAGCCATCAGAGTGGAAGGGAACGCACTCAGAGCAGTGCGGCCAGAGGTACAGTCAAAGCAGCCAGCAAGCAACCGAGAAAGGAGAGAGATGGAAAACAACCAGGCAGTAGGGGGGCTGAGGAACCCCTATGGCGCCATCCAGAGCAAAGCCGCAGCGTGGAAGGTGGGCGCCAGTGTGCGTCATGTGCTCTTGGGGGTCATCAAGGGGAACACTCGGGAGTTGCATGCACTGGCGTCGGGGGCGCCATTCACAGGTTTTCACGAAGATACTGTGGAAGCGGCAGCCAGTGCGTTGTCATCGCTGGCAGGAGTAAAACCGGAAGCCCCCTCTCCGATACGAGTGACTCTCTTGGAAAGTTTGTTGAAAATGAGCCACGACCCAGAGAAGGATGTGGCAAATTGGCTGAGAGAAGGTTTCCCGCTGGGAATAGAAAAGGAGCTTGGAGTCAACAAACAACGTATTCCCAGTGACAGAGGGGGATACAAAAGCTGTGGAACTATCAAGACAGTTCCCACTGCTTACCGACTGGTGCGATGTAGACCAAGCAGAAAATTACAAGTCCTTCCAGGAGGCAGGGCCAGCAGCTCTAGAAGAATTGGAGCGAGTGGCCGAAGCGGGCTATGCAACACGCGCCGGGAGGGGGCGTGAAGACCCCATTGGTGGTCGATTGCCGCCGATCTGGCATAAACGGGTTGATGTGCATCAGGCAGCGGGTCGTTCTCCCGCGAGTGAGCGACGTCGCAAACGACTGGGCCACAATGATGCAAGAGGAAAACAATGCAGTCGTTCACCTCGCAGTAAACGACTTCCGCGATGCCTTCTACCAATGCCGACTGGCGCCCAGGGAGCGCAAACATGTAGTAGTCAAGGCCAGTGGGTCTGTCTACTACATCTTAGAAGTAGTTGCGTTCGGCCTGGCCTGCGGGCCGCTGTTGTGGTCAAGGCTGGCCGCAGCCCTGGTGAGGCTTTCACAGGCGGCCTGCTGGGATACCGTCCGCATACACTGCTATGTGGACGATCCCTTACTCGTGGTCAAGGGACCAGATGCCTTGGCAAGGTCAGTGAACCTGGCGATACCACTCCTGCTGTGGCAGGCCTTGGGTTGCCAACTGAGTTGGAACAAGATGCAGCTAGGGACCACCGTACAGTGGATCGGATTCCAGCTGCAGCTGAAAGACGGCTGTTTGGTGGCGCAACTCTCGCCAGAGAAGCTGGAAAAGCTCCAAAGGGCTCTGGAAGAACTACTACAGCACAAAGGAGTAGTCCCCGTTCAACTACTCAGGTCGATGGCTGGACTACTAGGTTGGCTCACATCAATTGTCAAGCTGGCCAGGCCTTGGGTTGGAATGATCTGGGGGTGCGTCACCGAATGCGAAGCCAGGGTGACAAAGCGTGCCAGAGAGCGCAAGAATTTGGTGTTCATGAAGCAGGTGTACTTGGCGCTAAGCACATTGCACAGGATGACTCAATGCAGCTCCCTGAATGCCACCTTCCATTGGCGCCCGCGTTCACTGTGGCAAATACAGACAGATGCATCAGTGTTTGGATTTGGGGGTATATTATGGTATGGCCGGCAGCCAGTCGCCTGGTGGGCAGACGAAATCCAAGAATGGGATTTGGCGCTGCTGGGGGCCAAAACAGGAGACCCAGCCTGGCAATCCGAGTGGGAGCTGTTGGCAGTGGCCATTTCAGCCAAGCTGTTTGGGCCTCAGATCGCAAGTCAGGCTGTGCACCTGACGACTGACAACACAGGCGTCCTGCATACGGCTTTAAATCTTCGGGCCTCCTCACCAGGTATGGTAACCGTAGCTGCAGAACTGGCCTGTGTGCTTCGTCAATTTGACATTGACCTGCGGCAAGGTAACCATGTCCGATCGGCCGCCAATTACTTGGCAGATGCCCTGAGTCGGCTGTCCCGTGGTGCGGCTGTGCCCGCACTTTTGGTGCCTGTGACGCGCCTTGACACAGGTTCAAGAGAAACCTGGTGGAACGTTACCTAAACCTCTCGAAGCAGAGGTGTAGGCAGGGAAAAGGAAAGCGGCTCCCAGAGGGACGTGAGGGAGACTCGAGTCAAAGGTGTGGCAGTGTTGTTGGCCTCTGGTAGGCTCCACACAGGGTTGTCCCCCCTTTCAAAATTCTTCCTCCTTCATTTTAGTGTTTCTTCATTTCGCTCTTTAGGATCTCAGATTTGTAGTTGATCCAAGGGCATAGCAAGCACTGGTCTGCAGTTTCTTTTATGCCCAAGCCCAGTAGTCACGTGGCACCGTGCAGCCACCGCGAATGCCGAGAGGCAGCGCCACACATCGGGGCAACATAGCAGCCCTACACACCTTGTGTTTCAGCGCATACCCTCGCCCGCCAGTGCGCGGTTTCGTGGGTCAGGTAGTCTCCTACCTGGTGGCAGCGCTGTTCGGTGCAGTAGCGCTGCTGTGGTTCTTGCTCTCAGAATAGATATGTGGGCCGCGCGGCTGCTTCCAGCAAGCCAGCAGAGGAGGTTTGCAGGCGCGGGAGGTAGAGATCGCCCGTCGCAAAAGCAGCTGTCGAAAAGGAAGGCAGATCTGGTCGCAGAAAGATTCAACTCAAGGCAGAAAGAAGTGACGGCGTCCCGTGAAGACTACGCCAATGGGCCAGTGCGCCTTCCCAAGAACGATGGCTTCGATCCGTGGTCGGCATTGGCCCAGAGGGTATGTCGGCTCTGCTCCAGGAAGCCAGTAATTGGGTACTGCAACAGGTGCGGTATCGAGCTGTGTGGTGCGTGCATTACAAGAATGCATACAGCACCCTTTAAGTGGATCTGCCTGGAGTGTGCCTGCGGGTCAGATGAGTCGGAAGAACAGGCGAAGCTAGTAGTGTGCTGTTGGAAAGAGAAGTGCTATGCTAGCGCAGCCTGGGATGGAAACAGAGAATGACTTGGCGGGTGCACTGGCAGAGAGGATCTTGGGTGACAAAGGACGCCACCTCGAAATGGCCTGGTGGGCCGAGGTAAAGCGGAAGGATTGTGCGCTTCACGGAGAAAGGCCAGTGATGCCTTTCTCAGTGATGAAAGCCTATGCCGCAGCCAAGCCTCCGGGAAATGATGATGAGGCAAAAGACGAAATGGGGCTCCCGTCAGCCGGAAGTAGCGATCTTCACCCGCACGGGGAAGGGAGCACATTGGCGGATGTGGACAGGTCAGTTGTCAAAGCGGAGCCCAAAGAGGACGAAGCGGCCTTGTCAGATGACGAAGGCAAAAGTGTAAAGAGGAGGAGAACGCTACCCAGCGAGGGGCACCGCTTGGAGCCGGTGGAGCTCAGGGCACCTACCACGCCGCGAGGACCATGGGCCCTGTGGTGGCACCGCCCAAAACAAGGGCGAGGGGGTCGGCGGCAAAGGCTTTGGTGGTCGCCGCCTCGGAAGATCTGATGAAGCAGGCGAGAATCAACTATGGGGAGCTGGTCTATGCAAAGTCAACAGCGATTGCCAAAGAAAGCAAGGCCAGGTTGGTGGTGCAGATCGCCGAGGCAAGAAACTTGGAGCCATTTCCACTTACCCCTGCAGTGATCGGGGAAGTGGCCGCGGTCTTGCGGGCGGCCGACTTCGCCTCAGGGGCGACGTACCTGGCGGAAGCAAAACAAGTGCATCTGCGAAAAGGTTATCAATGGGACTCATCCTTGGACCTGGCGATGCAAGACGCAGAGAGGGCTCTGACCAGAGCTCTTGGCCCTGTGGTGAAGGCCGAAGAGATACCCCCGAAGCTATGGAGGGTATGGCAGGAGGCAGGTCGGCATGGCTTCACTCGAAGCCAAATGCAGCCACAAGCAGGACCGGAGCTTTGGGGAATGGGCTCTGCGTTCTTGCTGCGAGAAACAGAGCTCGCACACCTCTTGATGGGGTCTGCTTCACTAGACCTGGAAAGAAGAGAGGTCACGTTGCTCCTTTCTATGTCAAAGACTGACCCGGCAGGAAAGGGAGCGAGGCGCACAAGATCGTGCGTTTGCTCGTGGCCGCCGGAAGAGGAAGGCGAAATAGACTGCCCCTTTCACGCCACGGTGAAGGTCATGGCGGGAAGAACCAAAGTTCTTCGGGGCATGGGCTAGGAGGAAGAGGAGTTGAGAGAGTTTACCGTGGTTGGACAAGTTGGGTGTCCCGCCCTGATGGTAAGCAAAGAGGCAATGATAGCGGCTCTGAGAAAGGATGCCGAGGAAGCCTGCAAGTCAGTCAACCTCGCAAAGCACAGACTGGCAGCCCTGAACTTTGAAAGGGTAACGGGCCACTCTTTAAGAAGGTCAGGGGCCAAGGACGCTGTCAAGAGGCATGGTCACCCGTTAGCAATGGTCCAATGGCTCGGCCGTTGGGGATCCAGTGCGGTCCAAGGCTATGTGGAGGACGCTTTGGAGGAGATGCCCGAGAACAAAGTGGCCTTAACTACGTGGGAAGGAGTGGCACGCAAAACCCTGGAGCAAACCGCCAAATTTGAAGAGATACAAAAAATGATCGAACTGGTCAAGACCGAGGTCAGGACCAACGATCAAAATACAAGAACCATGGTACAGGAAATCAGGGACCAAGCCAGACCGAAACTGGTCCTGAACCTGTCCACTCTCATGGTGCATGCCACCGCGAAGAGTGACAGCAGTGAGTGGGTTGGCAATCCGCTCAACTAGGTCACCCGGTGTGGTGGCTGGAGATGGGCTGCCGCGGGAAGGCTGGCAAAGCCTCTGTCGGCGAGGGAACAGGTAGGAGAAGCTGTCGCCATTTGTTCGAAGTGCAGGCCAGACATGATTGCCGAGGACTTCATCGACAGCTCTATCCCCTTTTCGTGGTGACAAAGTCCCACAGTAACATAGAGACGCTTTGAGTAGAAAGAGAGAAAAAGGCAGCACAGAAGCCGCTGAAGGGACGGGTGGCAAGGTAAAGGTGTTGTCTTAGGGGCAGGTACACTTGGTTACCTGTGCTTGTAACCCCGTGGTGTTGTGCTTGTGTAGTGCTGTCTGTGTCAGGTCACAGCCTACTTTCCCCCTTGTCCTTGTATGCTGGTCTGTGTACCTGCGACCTTTCCACCATTCGTCAAAAGGTGTCTGCTGCTGCTGGCTTCATCCAATAAGGGTGGATTGACATGCAATGTAACGAGCTTGTTTTGAAATACAAATGTATGTAAGAACATTGCGAGTGAAATTGCATGGTTGTGGGTGGGAGGTTTAACACACCACCTCCCAGCGTGGTCGATCTTGCAGTTCCCACATGCCATTTTGGCTCAAGCTGCCAGTGTGCAGCTTGGACTAGTGGTGTGTGAGAACTGCTCGGGTGTCTGGTGTTTTTTGTCTCCCGCCCGCCCTTGCCCATCTTGGGTGGTGTTGTCTTAGGGGCAGGTACACTTGGTTACCTGTGCTTGTAACCCCGTGGTGGTGTGCTTGTGTAGTGCTGTCTGTGTCAGGTCACAGCCTACTTTCCCCCTTGTCCTTGTATGCTGGTCTGTGTACCTGCGACCTTTCCACCATTCGTCAAAAGGTGTCTGCTGCTGCTGGCTTCATCCAATAAGGGTGGATGGGTAGGGATTGACATGCAATGTAACGAGCTTGTTTAACCAGCAAAAACAAGGATTTGAATCTCAACCCGGTGAAGATGTATTCTTTGATCGTTGAACTTCTCAGCACTTGAGCATGCAGGAGATGATAATTCTGCACAGCTTCCACACAGACGCTCTGCGGAGGTTTACGGCCCGGGCACCCAAGCTGTCCTGCCGTCCGACTTCTATTGGGGCCATCCCAACAGCCACAAATATAATATGGCGGATGTCAGGAAGGAGAAAGCAATGATTGTATCAACATACCCATGTTTAGTCGTTCGTGGTTCATCTCTTGGTGGCTCATACCAGATCCCATTCGTCCCAGAATTGGTTGAAGGGGCTGCGGGAAGCCCCCATACGTGCTGGCGAACTCCATGGTTTGCTGTAGACGTTCCGTCTTAACTATAAGAAACCATGATTTGTTCAATGTTCTTCCTGTAGATGTTCATGGATGTTCATAGATGTTCATAGATGTTCATAGATTTTCCTATGGATGTTCCTATGATGTTTCCTGTAGATTTCCCACATTTTCTGGTGTATTCGATTCACCTTGGGGACTGCATTGACTCCTGGGGCGGGTGGCTCTACCGCTGGGGCGATGCGGCCATCCGGGCAGTGCAGTTGTGGGTGATGCTGGAGGCACCTCCTCGTGGCTTCAACGGCTCAAGCTGTGGGCTGTTCGTCATTGGATAAGCTAACCGCAAACAAGAACAGAAATGGGGTGTGAGGCGTGAAGCGTACTCTTGTATGAATTTAAGATTCAAAGTTCGTTGGAATCAGTAGATACTTTACATCAGGTGATTTAAGGCTACTGAAAGTGGGAACTGTTTGGCACGGTGAGGTGACAAATGTTGTTCGATGTTTGAAGATGCCCGGGGTGGCTTCGAGGCCAAAGAGTGCTATGAGTTTGATAGCTTGCCTCATGCAGCTTGGATGAAGATCAAACTTGGGCAACTTGGGTGGTGGTTGTGGGGCCTCAAATTTAACCCCTTCGTGGGGTAACATGTGGATGTTGCCACTCACATTCTTTTTGCGAGACATTGGATGCGTTTAGATCCTCAAACTCACCAGCCATTGGGTCACCGTCCCAAGGTACGATTGAGCCATCCCATGTGCGATCTCCCCAACCCCACCACTCCTAGCGAGGTACATCAGCACTTCTGCCGCTGCCCCAAAGAGGTGAACGCGCCCTGCACCTCTTTGGGACGAGGGGCTAAGATGCTCAGCGGGAATCAAGACCGGGTTGAGGGAAGGGTCCACGTTCGAGGTGTTGGGGGGTCGATATGCAGTTGGGTTCTGTTGGTTCTGTTCTGTTTTTTTCCCCAGGAGTTCACCAAAGTCTTTGAATCTTCAACTAGCTCGAAGGCTCACAGTTTTGAAGACAGGTGGAAGGCAAGCCTGGGAACCGAAAATCCTGGGGACCTTATCAGAAGCCTTTAGGAAAGCACAGTCATATACAGCCATCAAGTTTCGCAAACCCAGGATCTTTCGCTGGAGCTGCGGAGCTGAGCAAGAGACTGAAGAAACAATGGCGGCAGCACCTGCAATCTTTGATAAGGCACGGGGGTCGCAGTTGCCCCTACCTCATGTGGGGTCGCATTTGCCCCTACCTCAGTTGGGGGTAGGGGCGAATGTGACCCTAGGGTAGGGGCGAATGTGACCCCTGCTTTTGTGTGGCAGGCGCAACAGTTTCAGAGCCTCGCAATGTCATTTTCACGTGTTATGTTGGAAAATCGCTTTCAAGCAACTCCAAGACACTGGAATTTTCGTTGTAACATCCATTTCAATCAACTTGCCACACGCCCTGGAAGTCAGTTCCAAGACGCTCTGGACTGGATGCTATGTTGCAACATAACATCCATTTCAAGCAACTCCAAGACGCTGTGGATGCTACGTTGTAACAGCCATTTCAATCAACTTCCCAGACGCTCTGGATGCTACGTTGTAACATCCATTTCAATCAACTTCGAAGACGCTCTGGATGCTACGTTGCAACATAACATCCATTTCAAGCAACTCCAAGACGCTGTGCATGCGACGTTCCAACATCCATTTCAATCAACTTCCCGGACGCTCTGGATGCTACGTTGTAACATCCATTTCAATCAACTTCGAAGACGCTCTGGATGCTACGTTGCAGCATAACATCCATTTCAAGCAACTCGAAAACGCTGCGGATGCTACGTTCCAACATCCATTTCAATCAACTTCCCGGACGCTCTGGATGCTACGTTGTAACATCCATTTCAAGCAACTCCAAGATGCTGTGGATGCTACGTTGTAACAGCCATTTCAATCAACTTCCCAGACGCTCTGGATGTACGTTGTAACATCCATTTCAATATAACATCCCGTGTCCCCAGGTCTTACCCTACAAGGTTGAGTGTCATATTCAATAGGGATGGAAGTGACTTACAGTAGGCTATGACCCCAAGTCCCCCCCTAAATGTTCCCCAGTCCCCCCTAAAAGTTTTACCCTAAAAGGTCGAGTGACATATTCAATAGTGAGTGAAATGACTTAAGCTATGTCCCCAAGTCCCCCCTAAATGTTCCCCAGTCCCCCCTAAAAGTCCCGTGTCCCCAGGTTTTACCCTAAAAGGTCGAGTGACATATTCAATGGTGAGGGAAGTGACTTAAGCTACGTCCCCAAGTCCCCCCTAAATGTTCCCCAGTACCCCCTAAAAGTCCCTTGTCCCCAGGTCGTACTGTAAAAGGTTGAATCACACAGTCAATGGGAAGGATACTTGGGTAGGGGCGAATGTGACCCCTTTTGGGGTAGGGGCGAATGTGTGGCGAATGTGACCCCTGCCCCTTTGATAATCTTTGGTCATTTTGATGGCGGAACTGTCAGTTGGCACATGTTGGGTCTGAGAATCCGACACCCAAAAACCTGGCAGATTTGTTGGAAAGCCCCTAAGGTTGGGATTTTGGAGGATGTTTCGATGCATGTGGAGCCTACTTTATAGGAACTACCAGCTACCAATGCCTTGATCAAATGGCAATTGCACTTGCTTTACAGGGCATCAAAGCAGTTGCGGGATGTTGCGGGAATCCAAAGGTGCGGGAACCACTCGAAACAATTCAGCGCTGAATGGAACTGGGAGCCATTTTGGAGGAGAGTGTAACAAGACTTTTACTTTATTTTTTGTTCCTTTCTAATGCAATGTTCCGATTACCTCATCTAATTAGCTTTAGATTTTCAAGATTATCTCTTAATATATTTGCTAATAGGGTGAATACGTACTGGATACCATCCTATTTTGAGGAGAGAATTTATGCAAAAAATGGAGTCGTGCCTAGGATTTTGTTATTAGCGAGCATGCATGCACTATATCTTGTAGCGGTTTTTTATTTTTCTAACTTAGTATTTGAAAATTGGAACTGCATTTTGTAGTAATTTATGTGGATTGTTTTTGGGTCATATAGGAAACCCTATAGCCCTCTTTTACCATTCATATTGGGTCATATTAACTTATGGCTTGGACCCTTAGACCATTTTTGACTCTCAACTTACGATTATTTCGTAGTAAGATGAGCCCCAAAAGAATTTTAACACAGAAATATTAATAAGGAAAATAAAACAGATTTGGCAATCAATCGAAATTTAAATTATGCATAGATCGTTTTTGTTGTCCTATAGCTTTGACGATTATAATTTAAAATCTTTGTGCCGTGCTTTTAATATACCTTATTTGACTATTATATATGATTATTATATATCCCATTTTATAAGATTCTTATTTTTTTTGTTTTTTTTTTTTTTTTTTTTTTTTTTTTTTTTTTTTTTTTTTTTTTTTTTTTTTTTTTTTTTTGTTTAATAGCCGAATTATATCGAATTTTAAAAAATCCATATTTTGAATTCTTTTTATATTTTTTAACTATAAAACACAAATTCGATACTTAATATTTTAATTTTTGGATAATTTTTATGATA